TGCAGACATTTTATTTAAATATAACCACTAATACAAAGCTAAGATTATCTATAAAAAATAATATATATATATATATATATATAAACAAGTCTAAATTGAAAACAACGTTCAAACCTATGATTGCGTTGGATAAAAACCGCAATTTTTACACGTGTGCATGCAAAACAAATTTCTTGTTAGAGGGGTCTAAATACAGCACAAACAACATTTTCCAAAAGATCAAAAAAGTGAAAAAGTATATTTTAACAAAACGCATTTGACTAACAGGTCGAACAACAAATGTTCTTAAATCCTGCTGACTGCCATTGGGGATTGCCAAATAAACGGATCACAAGGTGTAATAAATGGATCTTAACTTTAAATTTAATACCAAACAGAAAACAATAAACTTCGCCAAAAAAAAAACCGCAAATTTTATAAGTGTGCATGCAAAACAAAGGAGTAGGTCCGGTAAGGGCCGATTTTGGCCCCAAATTTCAGGTTCATCTGATGAAAGATTTTGGACACTTTTTAAACACTTAAGTGTCTACTTTAGTAGAATCAATTTATTTATGTGAAAGATTTGAACTGATTTAGTCATTAAAGACGCTCATATTCAAGCTTAAATGTTATAAATCTATCAAATATGCCATAATATGTCACTTTTCAGATGGTTTTTGTCAAAAATGAAAGTGGCCGCATCCGTGTTCATCCTCAACCTTTATATATGTTATGTATTATCATCAAATACAACTTATATTTAAATATTAAGAATGAACACAAATGCGGCCACATCCATTTAAGACGGAAACCGTCTAAAAATTAACTCAAATGCTAAAATTATGAAGATTTCAGTAATTTAGCATGACTTAATGATGCTAGTACCCGATAAATATGCATTGTATTATCAGAAACAGCCCATATGTATGTAACAGAAGTATTCTACTTTCCAATGAATAGCTAAAAGTTTACATTTTAACAATTTTGTAAAACTGCTATATTTTGGGGCCAAAAAGGGGTCTTACTGAACCTACTCCTTTCTTGTTAGAGTGGTCTAAATACAGCACAAACAACATATATATTAAAATGATATACAAATCAAGAAGACAATTATTATTGATATATATTTTCATTTCAAATAAATATTTCTCTGTCAAAAGGGAAACTAGAGGGTCTAAAAGAGCCTGTGTCGCTCACCTTGGTCTATGTGCATATTAAACAAAGGACACAGATGGATTCATGACAAAATTGTGTTTTGGTGATGGTGATGTGTTTGTAGATCTTACTTTACTGAACATTCTTGCTGCTTACAATTATCTCTATCTATAATGAACTTGGCCCAGTAGTTACAGTGGAAAATATTTGTAAAAATTTACAAAAATTTACGAAATTTATGAAAATTGTAAAAATTTGACTATAAAGCCATTAAAGGGCAGTAACTCCTTAAGGAATCAATTGACAATTTTGGTCATGTTGACTTATTTGTAGATCTTACTTTGCTGTACATTATTGCTGTTTACAGTTTATCTCTATCTATAATAATATTCAAGATAATAACCAAAAGCTGCAAAATTTTCTTAAAATTACCAATTCAGGGGCAGCAACCCAACAACGTGTTGCCTGATTGGTCTGAAAATTTCAGAGCAGATAGATCTTGACCTAATGAACAATTTTAACCTGTCATATTTGCTCTAAATGTTTTGGTTTCAGAGATATGAGCCAAAAACTGCATTTTACCCTATGTACTATTTTTTAGCCATGTCGGCCATCTTGTTTCTGCGGGCGGGGTCATCGGACACATTTTTTAAACTAGATACCCTAATGATGATTGTGGACAAGTTTGGTTAAATTTGTCTTAGTAGTTTCAGGAGAAGATTTTTGTAAAAGATTACAAAAATTTACGAAAAATGGTTAAAAATTGACTATAAAGGGCAATAACTCCTTAAGGGGTCAACTGACCATTTTGGTCAAGTTGACTTATTTGTAGATCTTACTTTGCTGAACATTATAGCTGTTTACAGTTTATCTCTATCTATAATAATATTCAAGATAATAACCAAAAACTGCAAAATTTCCTTAAAATTACCAATTCAGGGGCAGCAACCCAACAACGGATTGTCAGATTCATCTGAAAATTTCAGGGCAGATAGATCTTGACCTGATAAACAATTTTACCCATGTCAGATTTGCTCTAAATGCTTTGGTTTCAGAGATATAAGCCAAAATCTACATTTTACCCCTATGTTCTATTTTTAGCCTTGGCGGCTATCTTGGTTGGTTGGCCAGGTCACTGGACACATTTTTTAAACTAGATACCCCAATGATGATTGTGGCCAAGTTTGGTCAAATTTGGCCTAGTTGTTTCAGAGGAGAAGATTTTTGTAAAAGTTTACGGACTACGAACACAGGAGGCAGGACGACGGACGCCAAGTGATGAGAAAAGCTCACTTGGCCCTTTGGGCCAGGTGAGCTAATAAAAAATAAAGATTGCTTTCATTTTGCAATGCAAAATTAAAATTAAACATTTAGCTGTATTTAGCAATAAAACACATTGATGTGAATTACCGTACACATTTTGAATTGCAACCTACTTTTAAAACAGACTCGTACTGTACGACATGAACAATTTCTGTAATTCTGAATAAAAAAGTTTTCTTTACAAGTATGATTATTCAAATACACAAAATCTTACAACTTGAATATCTGAGTATAATATATTTATAATCTAAAGAATGTTCACCTCACTCCACTATAGTGTTTTATTATCAAAAGCAGTGATAAAACCTAGAAGACATAGATATCAAAATTATTTCATTATTCCTTAGATGCTGTTCTTGCAGGAAGTTTTATCTAACACTAATTGTATAGTTTTATTGTTGATATTCACCCCATATGTACCAAGTGTTAGATTAGTTTTATTGATATTAAAGAAATTTCTTGGTATTCCTAAACGGAAAATTTTTTACACACAGAAGAAGAAGTATACTTAATAACAAAATTATTTTCATTTACCTGTGTATGATATGACGCAGGTTTCTTCAAAAGTGATGATTTTCTAAAAACTGTTTGATATTTCACAGCGATATCATACTTTAACTTGTTTAAACCTGTTTATTTATGTTTGACTTTAATTATTTATCCCTTGTAATTTTTTATTAACTGTGTATTTGCATTCAGGTGTCACAGGTCAAATTTATTCGTACATTGTGTGTTAATTTACGTTTTTTGATTGAGTTTAGCCTTCCAATTGATATTTTATAGTGTGTTTTTCTATGTTGTGATGTTATACTATTGTTTCAGAAAAGGGAGAAGGTTTGGTACCATTAAAACGTTTAATCCTGCTGCAAATGTTGGCACCTGTCCTAAGTCAGGAATATGATTACAGTAGTAGTCGTATATTTATGTAGTTCATACGTGTTTCTCGTATCTCGTTTTTATATAAATTAGACCGTTGGTTTTTCCGTTTGAATGGTTTTACACTAGTAATTTTTTGGGGCCCTTTATAGCTTACTGTTCGGTGTGAGCCAATGCCCCGTGTTGAAGGCCGTACCTTGACCTATAATGGTTTACTTTTATAAATTGTAACTTAGATGGAGAGTTGTCTCATTGGCACTCATACCACATCTTCCTATATCTATATAGAGAAAAACCCAGCAGCATAAGATTTTTGACTGCATTTCATGCAATCTTTACCTTAAAACAATTTGTGAGTACCAAAGCCAACTTTTTGAGTTATGTATTTCTCAGAAAACCAGAAACCAAAGTTTTAGTTGTAACACAAATTGCTTTTTCTAAAACCTCAAAAGTATTTCTGTTATAACCTTCTTTTTTATTTGCTATTTCAAAATTAAAGAACCTTAGTGAGCGCGCTCACATACCCCACGTCCCCACATTGTCATTGGAGAAATAAAATAAGTGTAAGAAAAAAAAATTGTATCAAAAAAAAAAAAATTGAATCATAATTTCCTGCACATCTACATAGTATGTCCTTATTATCTACACAGTTTCATGAAATTCTGTTGTGTGGTTTGAGAGGAGTTGCGATGACAAAAGGTTGCAGTAGTATATTGGGCAAATAAGTTCAAAGGGGCGTAACTCTTGGAAAAAAAATTGAATCGTTATTTCCTGTCGATATGCACATCTTCGTAGTATGTCCTTATTATCTGAAAAGGTTTCATGAAATTCTGTTGTGAGGTTTGAGAGGAGTTGCGATGACAAAAAGTTGCAGTAGTATATTTGGCAAATAAGTTCAAAGGGGCGTAACTCCTGGAAAAAAAATTAAATCGTTATTTCCTGTCGATATGCACAACTACATAGTATGTCCTTATTATCTAAAAAGGTTTCGTGAAATTCTGTTGTGTGGTTTGAGAGGAGTTGCGATGACAAAAAGTTGCAGTAGTATATTTGGCAAATAAGTTCAAAGGGACGTAACTCCTGGAAAAAAAATTGAATCGTAATTTCCTGTCGATATGCACAACTACATAGTATGTCCTTATTATCTAAAAAGGTTTCGTGAAATTCTGTTGTGTGGTTTGAGAGGAGTTGCGATGACAAAAGGTTGCAGTAGTACATTAAAGTAAATAAGTTCAAAGGGACGTAACTCCTAGAAAAAAAATTGAATCGTAATTTCCTGTCGATATGCACAACTACATAGTATGTCCTTATTATCTAAAAAGGTTTCGTGAAATTCTGTTGTGTGGTTTGAGAGGAGTTGCGATAACAAGAAATAGGACTGACGGACTGACGGACGGACAGACAGACGGACGGACGGGTCAAAAACATTATACCCTCCGCAACTCGTTGCGTGGGGTATAATAAAACAGAAACACAATAACACCAGAATTATAGATATAGGGAATGTGGTCAAAGGTATTGTATATAAAATTACATTTAAATTCATTTTCAGCTAGAAATAGAAATTATAAACTTTACAAGTTTAGTATTATCAAGTTAACTGAAATCAAACTCATCAAAGGACAAATTTCAAACTATATATATGTTGAAAATTATTCACCAGTATGTTGGATCTTACTAAAATTTATTAAATTGTGAAGTTCTCTGAGTAAATACAACTATTTAAATCATAACTCATAATAACAGATATAAGATCAACAAATGGTTGACTCCCTTCATATGTTTTCAAATGTACCAATTATCATTATCTAATGTATCCATTCAATCATAATCTATATATATCACAAAACAGAATATCAAGAGACACAACTCTGGACTTGTGTGAAAAAGTAAAACAGACAAAAATCTTATTACCCTAAAGACAAAGTCTACAATTGTTATATTATTTATCAACAACTATAAAAAGAACAATGTACAATTTGGGATTTCTAGAATGTATTCTTAGTAACATAATGTATGCCCTGTGAAATATGCTGTTTTTGACAGATGAAAATCTAAACACAACATTATAGGTGTGCAAACTGAGTAAATACAAATGCACATGTGATCTAGTTTAAATGAATCACAAATCCTTAAAAATATCAAACTAATAATATTATATACATATATGACTTATTTTATATTCAAACTATTCTGAGAGTATGATTCTTGTTTACAATCACAAAAACAATGTACATGGAAAAAAACATAATTTTTTGCCTGAAACTTTTTTGCTGTTAAAAAATACATCTGAACAAGTTCTGTCAGCCTGCAAAAATAATATAAAAAAAACTTTTCTACAGAATTAAAATAAAAATTTATATTGTTTATCATAGAAATAAAATGGATTTTGTCTTGTTTAAAGAAATTATGTATGAATTGAATTTAGTTCCAATCTCAGAAATCAAAATTAATCTATGGAATTTCTTTCAAGTTTAATATTTGAAACATACACTTTCAAACCATATTCCAAATTGACTTCAGTAAACTTTGTTTAGCATTTAAAAGTAATAAGATAGATTGCTACTTTTTATAATTTTATAGGATTGTAAATAAACTCATGATAAATACCAGGCTAAAAATTATCCTGTCAAGTTTACATAACTATTCTGACTCTCTCTCTCTCTCTCTCTCTCTTTATATTCAAATATGTATAACTGTAACACAACCATAAATAATACAGTCCTGCATGTTATAATTACACCAAAACTACAACTTAAAATATGTTCTGATGGAATAAAACACTTTGTTTATGAGACAGAAAGGTAGGACGCTAAAGTCTCTTGAAGGTAACCAGATACTCAGGAAATGCTTGTGAATCATGGAATATAATAAACATTGCAGGATTTGCAACATTATTAGTGACAGTATCATACAGGATATGACTTCCTGCAGCTTTTGGAGGAGGAACTTTGGTGTCTTTATTTCCCACTGCATACTCTCCTACTAAAACACGACATAAATACATTCTCTTGTGTTTATTTGCATCTTTGTCTGGTACAGAGTAGGTGTCTTGCACAGAATAAGCTGATTCCACTGCAAAGTATACTCCAAGTCCATACGCTGTTACTGTAGATAAAAAGGAAAACATATCATAAACATGGTGAATCTATGAAGTAAGATTTTGTATTGGGTCATGTATTATGTTGAAGTATCAGCAACTTGGAATATGACATTTCCCAGTGTTAATCTTTTAGAATTACAAAAAAAAAAAAGAACTACTAAGGATTCACCTAATTTCGCGAGTACAAAATTTTTTTTTTGGATTGAGAGAATATTTTGTTTTCATGGATATTTGATATTGTGGTTTTGCCAAAGTCTGCATAGAAGGTTATAGAAAATATGTATTTAGTTTAACATTTAAATTTTTGGTACATCTATACCTATGAAATCCAAAAATGTGGTATCCCAATTTCCTTGATTAGGTTTCTTTCTAAAAAACTATTAGCAATAGGTCAAATAAATTTGGTGTACAGAATATATTTTATGTGAAAATGTCTGTCTAATGAATCATTGATAACGTAAAGTAAGGTACAACAAAACCTTGATAAAAAATTTAGGCACAATCACTGTGGTTTCCAAGGCTTTGATAAATCAACTTAACATTTGGTCAAGTCAACCATTTTTTCCCAGACATTTACATATATATAATTTAGACAAAATTTCGAATGTTACTGGTCATTTTGTCCAGTAATGCATATAGCACTTAACAGGACCAACCCAACTTTTACTGGCCTTTGTCCAATGTCTGGCGACCTTGGGAATGCCAAGTTAAAAGGGTGGGACAATTTGGTCTTTTATATAGTATATTGTTACTTACAATTTTTACCACAATAGCTTCTGTTAAATCCATATCTATTTATGCTATCCATGGCATCCTTAGAAAATCCATGCCATAAAAATCTTTCATTCTGATTTCCTGGTTTATTTGTAGCATCAACAGATTTCTTCTTTGCTATATATTGTTGATATAGGGTTTTATTTTGCACTCTTTCAATCTAAAATACAAAATGTGTTATAACAAGTCACAAAATTCCTTCTAATAAAATGTGTAATATACATAAACATCAGGTTTCATACATATGAGAGAAATGGGAAGACCTTTCTCTTTAATTTTCTTTGTAATACAAAGGCTTAAGGTTAAGTTACATGCAGAAAACGGGCTTTGGTTAAGTTACAGTAAAATAATCATGGGGTCACAGACTTTGCTTTAACAGTATATATCATTCAAAGTATTGTTCTCAGTGAAAAAATACCACAAAACATTGAAATGAGCATAACGTCATCGCGTTATAGGCCACAAAACGTCGATTTTTGACGTTTTTATCTACAACTAGATAACGGAATGGTGAATAACATAAAAATGAACTTGGTGACCCCATGATTATTTTATATCATTAAAACGGAAATTCATGAACCAACAACATTCAGTTTTTTAAAGAAAAATCTATGGAGTAGAAATTTAAGATTTTATGATTTAAGACAAAAATAAAGAATGTTTTTAGCTTATTTTATATGCTTTCTATACAAATATTCACCTATTTTGAAAGAATTCACTCAGCAATATTTCAGACAATAAAAGAGATAAATGCCTTCTTTTTTTGATTTTCAGTTATATTTCAACGAGCCAAAGTTGTATGCAAAATTATACCAAACTCTGTGACTTAGCCCATTTACGGTTCCTTGACCTTAATATGAGGTTACCCAGGATATCAAATATTTGCCATTGGCAATTTTACATTTTGATGTTGAGAAATTCAAAGGTAAATAATTGTTCATTTTGATTCTTATAAAAATGTATGAAGATTAAATATATGTATTTTTTTTTTTAAATCAGTTTGTTTAAATAATGTTTACTTATTTCGTTCATGCATGGTTATATGAGCAATTCTAATATGACGTGCTTCTTTCGCTTGGTAATCAACACCGTGATAAAATTCTCAATATATCTATACTTAGCGCAGACTCAGAGATGTACATAATAATGACTGTTAAAATATACCTCCCACGTAAATCCACATGTATTGTAACCTATGTGTATTAACGCTATGTTGATTTCGCTGTGTTAAAAATTACAATTAAAAAAAACCTACATAACCTTAATTCTAATTCTGATGCATAACAAAAAGAATTAATGCATTAGAGATCGGAAAAATGTACAAAATCAAAATAAATCAAAATTTCGCGAAATTCCATTGGCGCATTAACGTCATTTCAAAACATGACGTCATATGACTGAAAACGACAAAGCTGAAGGTTTTTCAATTGCATTTACCTTCTAAACTCGAATAATATTGCATTAAAATAAAATTTTGAGGTAGGTGTTACTTTTTTTCTATTTTATTGCATTATTCACACATTTACTGATTTCAGCAAGTCAACATAGCGGCTCCTTCGTTACAAAATGTCAACAGTGAATTTGACAGTACCTTACGCGAAAAAAATGTAAATTAAAAATGGCAAATGTTGGGTTTGAGAATTAAAATAATCAATCCGATTTTTTCTAGTGGTTATTTAAGAAATTATTCATGCAAGCTACAAAATTTATTAGATTTTGTACATTTATCTAACAGTGGGTAAAATAGAACAGCCACACACACGGCATACCCACCCTTGCTTCAGTTTTTTAATGACAGTATTTGTCCTATAAGAATCGAAAAATTCATGGAAGCCATAGATTTGTTGTAAATTTACACATGGCCTGGGCCGTGATATTCATTAATTTTATCCCTCGCTAACGCTCAGAATTAAATTCGAATATCACGGCCCAGGCCATGTGTAAATTTACAACAAATCTATGGCTTCCATGAATTATTTCTTAAATATCTAACTGTAAATGTGTGAGGGCTTTTCTAATCTGTCGAACACCTTCTTTCAGCTTCCTTAATTTTCAACATTATTAAGAAATTCATTAGCAAATTGTGACCAAAATATTTGTTTTCATTTTAAACATTGAAAAAATTCAAAGTATCTGCAAACATGAAGTAGGTGTCTGATAGATCAGAAAGAGATTTTTATGTTACAACGGTTACCTCTTACTCTAAAGCAATATATATGTTGTCATTCTCTTATGTGGTTCCTGAGTTATTTGACTAGCTGACAGATTGACACAGCAACTATAAATAGCCCTCATTCCTAGTGTCCGGTATTCTTAAGATTTACGCTACATTGTTTTTTTAACTGCACTGTTCTTGTCAGATTCAGAACAAAAAGTCACTTCTAATGATTTTAAATACATGTAAGCCCTTTAATATCACTTAAAGAATAATATATGCTCACAGATTATGTTAACATGAGTCAATTTTCATATAAGAATTACCTTCACAAACTCTACGTTTACTCCACGTGCAGTGTCTGTAAATTTCTTAACAACATCTTTGTATTCTTGATCTGTAGATACCAGTGGTACAACTTTTAAGTTTTCTTTCTCGTCCATATGTGTCCATGTTGACGGTGGCTCAAATGTTTTATCTGACATAAAATTTCAAATTTATAGCTCTCTTATGATTACTATTAATGATGAGTGGTGATTCCTTATTTTTAGTTATTGATGATCAAAAGAATTTGTATACCAATAATTATTAATATTTCATGATAATTTTCAATACATACTGTTTATTAAATCTATAACTTTTCATCTATTCTCCTATCATTAGCAGTGTTAAAAAGCAATAACATTTTCCAGACTAACTTTGTACGTCATTTTAGATAATTGTTGACTGATAGATAGATATTCACTGAAACATACTATGCTGACTATTTCATATAATTAAAACAATAATTTTGAGGTTTTATACTATGTTCCCTCACAAAAAGTTTAAACTAAAAACCCTAGCAATTAAATCCTTGACTCCTAACAAATTGCAGGGAACTTTTATGAAAATACTTTCAAACAGCAGGTTTGATGACAGACTTTTGTATAAGGACTTGTTTTTACATCTAAATAAGGCCATGTATGAGTACATGAATTAAGAAAACATATACCTTCAGAATTCAAAATAGATATATGACTCACCGACAAGTTTTGATTTCCTCAGAACTTTAACTGTATCAGTTGGATCAGCAGCAGGATACTCTTCATAAGAATCAAAGTCAACAATGTATTTGTTTCCATCACTATCAAGGAAGAAAGCTTGTGGCTCTTGTTTCATCAATGCTGTCTCTAGTAGTACAGTAACATCATCAGGATATTCCTTCAATTCTGTCTTTCCATTATCGTCGTCCATAAAGTACCACTGTGCGATATCTTTAACCAGGGTAGCTTTCTGAATATTTTGTTTGCCTAGTTCTGCTTTTCTAATAATATCATTAATCTTATCCATTGCTGTAGCTACAAACTTGGTCATTCCTTTTATTGTTATTTTTTCATTAAATTTGTCAACATTAACTGTTACTTTATCTGTTTGTTCTAGTTTCTTCACTTCTGCAATCTGAAATTTATCAATATTTTTTTACTTAAATAATGTGATATAGCAATGTATCAAGAAATACACAAACGTTCTATTTACATTTTAGTTATTATTACAGATTGTCAAATTTGGTTTATTTCTTTTCTGTTAAAAGGACCGCAAAAGAGCTAAGGCTCACTGTTTCCCTTTGTATGAATAAAAACAATTAATAAAGTTTGCAAACAATTTGCTTGCAGTCAAATCAGTGTGTTTCGGTTGCTTTTAAAACAATTCAACATGTACAGGTAAATAACAACTACTGAACAGTCTTAATGTAGACTGAACAGGTGTTAATTGACTACAAGCACATGTACAGGTAAATAACAACTACTGAACAGTCTTAATGTAGACAGAACAGGTGTTAATTGACTACAAGCACATGTGGCTTGCATGAAATATTTCTTAAATAATGAATACTGTAATCTGTCAACTGATGTATACTAATAATATAGAAGCTGTTTACAAGGAGAAATATCTATAACTAACTGTAGGCTATCTATATAGCTAGGAACCTTAATTTTGTTCAGTTAAGCGGCTCCTCTGAAAAGGGATAAATGTTCAATTCTTTACCTGATCATTAGTAAATTCTTTGATGATTTTGGCAGGAACAGATTTTTCAATATGATCCTCTACTATTGCTGTTTCTAACAATTTAATGGCACCATCAGCAGCCCTCTGATCTTTAGAGTAGATAACAAAGGTCACCTTGTCATCAATCTTTCTATCTACTAATGCCTGAGCAGCAGAATGTCTTTGACCTAATGCCTGAGCACTGGAAAGTCTTTCTTCTGTAGAAACTTTTATCTCCTTTTCGCCTGTTGAACATTTAATGATATATTAATTTCAAGATATAATATATTTAAAATAAAATCTTCAGTTTATCAGATGAAAAGACAAATGTATCTAAAGCACATCTTAAATTCTGAAAAATATCTAACAACTTGTTCCATTTGCTTATATTCAACCAGCTAGTTTTTTTCTATTTTCTGTTATGCAGTAATAAAGAGGAAGACGAATAAATAAAGATTTTAATAATATAAATTTTTCGATAGGCAATATCTAATTAATCACACCACATAGAAATTATTAGAATAAACACATACCTTGAGACGATAGGCAACAATACTCAATAATAAATAAAAATTAAAAATAAAGATGACAGAAAATAAGTGTTTGTGGCCAAACTGCTTTCATTTTGCAATGTGAACTTTAAATTACACATTGAAATTCATTATAACTATCATCATGATCATAGGCAATACTTTTGAATTAGAGTTATCTTCCTTTGTTCATTTCATTGATCATATGTACACCATAATCAAAATTCAACAGCCTAGTAAAATCTACATATGGCTAGGAACAAAATTTTAGATACAGGATAAATAAAATGCTCTGCAGGGCGCAGCTTGATACGACCGCAGAGGTCGAACCCTGAACAGTTGGGGCAAGTATGGACACAACATTCAAGCTTGATACAGCTCTGAATTTGGATTGTGATTAAATATTTGACACAGCATAGGTTTCTGACACAGAATGAATGTGGTCTAAGAACTTAAAAATTTTAAATTGGACATTCACCTATTATGGTCCAATATCCAAAATCTAAATACATGGTTAAATTCAGCATATCAAAGAACCCCAGGAATTAAATTTTTGATGAAATCAAACAAAGTTTAATTTTGGACCCTTTTGACCTCAATGTGGACAAAGTTGATAACGGGGCCCAAAAATCAAAAATCTAAATACATGGTTAGATTCAGCATATCAAAGAACCCCATATATTCAATTTTTGTTGAAATCAAGTTTAATTTTGGACCCCGATTTGGACCAACTTGAAAACTGGGCCCATAATCAAAAATCTAAATACATGTTTAGATTCAGCATATCAAAGAACCCTAAAAATTCAATTTTTGTTAAAATCAAACTAAGTTTAATTTTGGACCCTTTGGACCTTAATGTAGACCAATTTGAAAACGGAACCAAAAATTAAGAATTTAAATACACGGTTAGATTCTGCATATCAAAGAACCCCAATAATTCAATTTTTTGATGAAATCAAACAAAGTTAAATTTTGGACCCTTTGGACCTCAATGTGGACCAATTTAAAAACGGGGCCCAAAATCCAAAAACTAAATACACGGTTAGATTCAGCATATTTAAGAACCCCAAGAATTCAAGAATAAAACCCTATTGAAATTGATCAAGAAATAAGCAATTTATACGAAGTATCTTCTTTTGCACAATACTGTGCAATTGAATATTTCTTGCTATTGTGCAATACTGTACAATTGACAATTTCTTGCTATTGCGCAATATTGTGCTATTGGATATTTCTTGCTATTGCGCAATACTGTGCAATTGAAGATTTCTTGCTATTGCGCAATACTGTGCAATTGAAGATTTCTTGCTATTGTGCAATACTGTGCAATTGAAAATTTCTTGCTATTGCACAATACTTATTATATAATAATTTACACATCCTGTTTGGTGTGTATCTCCTACCATATCATTATTATTTGCTTTTAAATATTAATCAGAAATAACCAACTTAAAATGGAAAATTTTAAAAGAAAAAAAAAAGGAAAAAAAGAAAAAAAAGAAAAAAAAAAATCCCCCCCCCCCCAAATTTTTTGAACCCCCTTATGATTCATCACCCCGAAACTCAATCCCAGCCTTCCCTTTGTGGTATGGTACCTTGCAGTACAATTTCAGAGAGATCCATACTCTTGAACACAAGTTATTGTCTGGAAACTAGAAAAATGCTTATTTTTGGTCTCTTTTTGGCCCCCAATTCCTAAACGTTTCGGGCAATTACCCCCAAACTCAATTCCAGCTTTCCCTTTGTGATATGGAGCCTTGTAGTACAATTTCAGAAATATCCAAACACTTACACACAAGTTATTGTCATGAAACTAGAAAAAAGCTTGTTTTTTGCCCCTTTTTTGGCCCCTAATTCCTAAAATTTTGAGGCAATTACCCCCAAAATCAATTACAGCCTTCCCTTTGTGATATGGAACCTTGTGGTACAATGACAGAGAGATCCATACACTTACACACAAGTTATTGTCTGGAAGTTACAAAAATGCTTATTTTTGGCCCCTTTTTGGCCCCTAATTCCTTAACTGTTGGTACCATAACCCCCAAAATCAATCCCAACCTTCCTTTCGTGGTATTGAACCTTATGGTAAAATTTCATGGAGATCCATTCACTTAAACTAAAGTTAGAGTGCGAAAACCAATGTGTCTTCGGACGACGCCGGACGACGCCAGACGACGACGACGACGACACCAACGTCATACCAATATACGACCAAAAAATTTTTAATTTTTGCGGTCGTATAAAAATAAACAAGTTCGGGGGTCTAAACAGATAAATAAATATACACAGAATGATGGACTGATAGCCCAATACTATCCAGTTTTCTAAATTTTTATTTTTAAAGTTGACAAAAGATTTGATTTGATTTTTGGTGTTTTAACGCCACTTTTAAGCGCTGCTTTTGGGCTATTTCGTGGTGGTCAGTTTTTATTGGTGGAGGATGCCAGAGTGCCCAATGAAAACCACTGACCCTCGATAGGAAAACTGACAATCCTTGTCAATTAAGATTGGAGTCGAGTGCACCTGGGGTTCGAACTCACAACCTCAGTGTTGACTGGCTAGTGATTACAGTAGTATCTACTTGGCCACTGAGGCCCCCAGTTGACAAAAGACGGGCTGTGTGAAATTGATATACACGGTAGTACATAAAGTACCTGCAATGTATCCTCAAGAAACCCAGTTTAGAAACCTTCCAACATAACCTTTAATGTTACTAGTACATACAGTACCTGAAATGTATCCTCCAGAAACCCAGTTGAGAAACTTTCCAACATAACCTTTATTGTTACTAGTACTGTGGTCAACACACTCCTTAATGGCTGCCATGAAATCTGTCATCATTTTCTGTTGGTAAATAACCACATGAACTTCTTTGACATGGTTGATTGGTTTACTGTTGAATTTTTCCACTGCTTTAAACATCTGTTCTGCTGCTTCTTTAACAGTTACATTGCTGTTTGATGTACCTGAGTGTGTAATATCTTTAACAGTTACATTGCTGTTTGATGTACCTGAGTATGTAATATCTTTAACAGTTACATTATTGTTTGATGTACCTGAGTATGTAATACCTTTAACAGTTACATTATTGTTTGATGTACCTGAGTATGTAATATCTTTAACAGTTACATTGCTGTTTGATGTACCTGAGTATGTAATACCTTTAACAGTTACATTGCTGTTTGATGTACCTGAGTATGTAATATCTTTAACAGTTACATTGCTGTTTGATGTACCTGTGTATGTAATATCTTTAACAGTTACATTGCTGTTTGATGTACCTGAGTATGTAATATCTTTAACAGTTACATTGCTGTTTGATGTACCTGAGTATGTAATATTTTTAACAGTTACATTACTGTTTGATGTACCTGAGTATGTAATATCTTTAACAATTACATTGCTGTTTGATGTACCTGAGTATGTAATACCTTTAACAGTTACATTATTGTTTGATGTACCTGAGTATGTAATATCTTTAACAGTTACATTGCTGTTTGATGTACCTGAGTATGTAATACATTTAACAGTTATATTGCTGTTTGATGTACCTGAGTATGTAATATTTTGGTTAAAGATTTCATTACATGAATAACATTAACAATGTGATTTTCAGAACTATAAAATTACTTGTAAAATCATCTTATCGAAATACTTTTAGAACAATTTTTTATTGTTTTTCAACAATAAATCTGAAATAGTAACCATTCAGAGTATTTGATTTTCATTTAATGTATAATAGCATATTTATATGCATCACTTCATCTTATTAATTTACTGATATTAAAAATATTTATGAAGATCTGACAGTCTAGTAAAAATTTCTAAGTAAAAAGATATGCAGGATAACAATCCAACAGTCACTAGAACTATATATATATTGAAGCATTTTTTGTGAGTTATATCGTTTCTGCCATTATGGCCGTCTTCATTGGATTAAATTACAACATTGAACCAACAATTACATAATGGCCGAAACGTATAGAAAAATTGTGTTATAGTTTTTATTATACAATCAATCAGAGACTTTATATATATGTATATAAATAACCCACAAAAATGCTTCCATCTTACGAGACTATTACTACATATGATATTGAAATATTGAATTAAAAAAAAAAATCGATTATCTCCCCTTTAACAAGACATTTGCAAATCACTGTTTGTTTACCTATAAACTTTTATCAAAATTCTCTTATTGACAGGTTAAGCTTCATATCTATTTTCTTTCATAATTTTGCAACCTAGCGGACGTACCTTTTCTTTTACTACTGAATCTGAATTGAATGAGTACAGATCAAAGTACACATGAAAGAAGCTAACATTAAATATATCTTGTATACCTAAAGCTGGAAATGCTACAATTGCTTTCTTTAATTCCTCTGTTTTTTTCAGTGCTTTTTTGACTTTGTCTTTCAAAGTGACAGGATTGGGAGCAGCATGGCCACTTGGATTAAGATCAGTCATATCTATATGTATCACAGCACCACATGGCAAGGATTTTGATGATGTGTTTGTTGTTACTGCTATACCGTCTTTTCCCATTGCTTTTCCTAATAATAAAAATTAGAATTATATCATTGGGAGCTTATATTAATACCCAGCTGTAAGGGATTATCTACATGCATGTCCTGAAACCCCAGTGTGTACAATTACTATAATTAACATTAATTTTCAGTAGCTAGACTCTACAGCTTTCAACATCAGAACCAAAAACCATGTTTCTTTTACAAACAATATAGATCTTAACTTTAATGATGCATCATTATTACCTCTGTAACATTATATAAGTAATAGAGTTCAGAGTATTAAAACAAATACCCTTAATGTTTTGTCTACTGTAAAAATACTTTTATTTATGGGTATACCAATTTTCATGACATTTTTGTGGGTTTTTAAATAAGTGGGATTTAGTTTTCTGAAAAAGCTTTTACATAGTCCTTTGAGCACATACATTCGTGGATAAAGCCTTCTATAACAAGAGTGCACACACTGAAATGTCTCGCCTTCTTTACTAATCATTTATATTATGTTGATAGTCCTAAATATAAAGCTTTATTACAACTGTCACATAAACTTAACATTAACCAAGTAAACTAAACATTGACCAATGAACCATGAAAATGAGGTCAAGGTCAGATGAACCATGCTAGGCAGGCATGTACAGCTAACAATTCTTCCATACAACAAATATAGTTGACCTATTATTTATAGTTTAGAAAAACAGACCAAAACACAAAAACTTAACACTGAGCAATGAACCTTGAGAATGAGGTCAAGGTCAAATAAAACCTGCCTGACTGACATATAGATCATAAAATATTTCCATACACCAAATATAGTTGAACTATTGCATATAGTATTAGAAAAAAAGACCAAAACTCAAAAACTTAATTTTGACCACTGATCCATGAAAATGAGGTCAAGGTCAGATGACACCTGCCAGCTAGACATGTACACCTTACAATCATTCCATACAACAAATATAGTAGACCTATTGCATACAGTATAAGAAAAACAGACCAAAACACAAAAACTTAACACTGAGCAATGAACCTTGAAAATGAGGTCAAGGTCAAATAAAACCTGTGTGACTGACATATAGATCATAAAATATTTCCATACACCAAATATAGTTGAACTATTACATATAGTATTAGAAAAAAAGACCAAAACTCAAAAACTTAACTTTGACCACTGAACCATGAAAATGAGGTCAAGGTCAGATGACACCTGCCAGCTAGACATGTACACCTTACAATCATTCCATACACCATTTATAGTTGACCTATTGCATATAGTATTAGAAAAAAAGACCAAAACTCAAAAACTTAACTTTGACCACTGAACCATGAAAATGAGGTCAAGGTCAGATGACACCTACCAGTTGGACATGTACACCTTACAATCATTCCATATACCAAATATAGTAGACCTACTGCTTATAGTATCTGATATATGGACTTGACCACGAAAACTTAACCTGGTTCACTGATCCATGAAATGAGGTCGAGGTCAAATGAAAATTGTCTGACGGGCATGAGGACCTTGCAAGGTACGCACATACTAAATATAGTTATCCTATTACTCATAATAAGAAAGAAATTAACATTACAAAAAATGTTGACTTTTTTTTCAAGTGGTCACTGAACCATGAAAATGAGGTCAAGGACATTGGACATATGACAGACGGAAACTTCGTAACATAAGGCATCTATATACAAAGTATGAAGCATCCAGGTCTTCTAGCTTCTAAAATATAAAGCTTTTAAGAAGTTAGCTAACGCCGCCGCCGCCGTAGCCGCCGCCGGATCACTATCCCTATGTCGAGCTTTCTGCGACAAAAGTCGCAGGCTCGACAAAAACCATGGAAATTGAAACCCCATGAATAAAAGTACTTTCACAGTATTTGTATTTTATGATCTTTATGTTCAAACAAAAGTTCACTAAATTGCAAAAAATAGACTACAACCATGAACTTACTCTGACTTTTCAGCTGGCCTTCTAGTTCTTTTCCACCTTTGTTTCTGATTGCATTAGCCACTGCACCTATAAAAACAATCACACTTTGCGTTCAATTCTAATAATATAAACCCTTGGAAAGAAAAACTATGAGAATCTTAACCTGGCTGCAAATAATTATGTCAAGTTTCCCAAAATATGAAGTACATGTAGAAATTTTGGTGTTCAGATTCTGTCAGATATTTCATAAAAAGGTAATTTTCTTATTTTTTAAATCCTGATTTAGAATCAGTCAGTTCACATTGCAAAAAAGAAAGCTATCTTTACCCTTCATACTTGGGAGCACCTTGATTGTGTAAATTATTTAACTTTTAATAATAATAAAAATAGATGTAAACAATATTTCTATAACATTTGGATTTTTTACACATTCTATTGTTGATAGTTCTATTACTATATTCTGATTTGAACAGTTTATACTTGGATATACATTATACTGTTGAAGTACTCTTAGATCAGTACTTTGTTTCTGTAATCTACTTTCTTATTTTTCTGAGGAGTCAGCCCCTTCCAACCCATTTCTACAGTCTGTTCAAATCTTGCAGTTACACCACTGTTCTAGGTTAAGAGAAGGGATAGGCACTCAAAACCATGTTCAACTCTGACATATTCTGCATGTGCCTGTCCCAAGTCAGGAGTATTTAATTCAGTGGTTTTTCTTGCTGGCTGTCTGATCTGTCATAGTTGTTGTTAATTTACTGATTTGTTCTAGATAAATTAAGTCATTACTTTTCTGGTATGAATTGTTCTACATTTTGTCATATCAGGGCCTTGTATAGCTTTGTATATGGTGTGTGATTTACTCATTGTTGAAGACTATAAGGTGGCTTTTAGTTGCTAATATAATTTGCTCTCTTGAAGATAGTTGTCTCATTGGAAATCATACTACATTTTCTTATTTTGATATCAAAATTGAATATGACAATATTAATGACTATCAAGCAATGATACACATTTTTAAAATAGGAAATATTTTGATTTGAAGTTATCTTCCATTATCAATAATAGAGAACATTAGCTTCCTTCCTTCTCTAAATCTGTACTAGAAAATGATATAAATTAATTACCATTTTGTAACTTACAATGTCGAACATATTACAACTTATTCTACCTACCCTTAGTTAAATCCAAATCAATATTAGTTCCATTAACTATAACATCCACTTTGACAGCAGTTATGTCCCCTTGGTAGATTTTTAATACCAGATTTCCTATGTCAACACTATACATTGTATTGGCATCTACAGCATGTTTTTGTGATGGCTGTATTGGTTCTTTTTTTGGCTTCTGATTTCCAGCTTTATCTGTAAAATATAAATTCATAAACCATACAAAGTGAATACTGTATTTCATGTCATGAAAATCAAAAACTGCTATGTAATTGACCTAAATCAAACCAATATCAACCTATGTCTTAGTTATAGTTGTGATTAAAACAAAATATATCCAACTAGCCTAAAAATAGCCAAAACAATCTTTCATTTTTCTATCATTTTTATTACAAATTAATGAAATGTGCTAAATAACAGACTTTGTAGCAATTTTCTTACAAAAAAATCAATCATTTACAGCTTCTTTGTCATTTCTAAAATGTCTTTCCTGGATATACACCCTCCCTATGTCGCATATCGCCAAAAAACTGCAGTTTCCAAAGGGTGGTGGTTTAACCTAAGGGAACACTATCAACATTTTACCTTCAGAAAAGACTAGGTTTTGTTTCAGTGTCAGGCTTAATACAGTAGTTTTATATGAGATTCTGTATGTGGTTTACAGAACATAGAATGATGAACAAATTGTTCAGAACAGAGGGCAAACAAAATAGAATTGTGAAAAATAGGCAAAAAAATAAAAATAAGAGAATAATAGGCTGAATAATCAAAGCACCAAGGGCGCTATAGGCAGTTAATTAAAGAAAAAAACAAGGCAAACGAGGCAGAAGTTAAGATGAATATTGTGGAAAAATTGGTTTTATTATTTATCTCAGCTATTTCAAGTATCAAAAAATGTTTGTACCTTAATGTTTCTGCTATCTAATCCTACCATTTTCAAAAGTTATTTTTAATTTATTTTAAATATACCTTTCCTAAATGAAAATTTTTATAGGCCCAGAAATATCTCAAAAAATAATTCAAGTAAATTTAACCTAGACCTTTTTTTTTTGCCTCAATTAAATTTTATAATAAACAAGAAATAATTGTAACAGGATGCTGTAACGAAGTCTCCCCATCAAAGCTCCTATAATTTGTCATTCCCATGGTCGCCTGACATTGGGCAGAGTCCAGTACAAATTGGTTTGGTCTAGTAAAGTGATATGCATATGTGATGCCTAGGAGATTGACCCTGTACGCTTACAAGTTCTCAAAATGTAGGGTTGATCCCCAGGGGACTCGCCCTTTATTTCATTTGATTTGTTTTAATGTCCCATACAAGAATATATATGGTTTCGGGGTGGGGATCTCCACCATTTGCAAATTATCAAAAAGAAGAGGGTAGAGGTGACCCCTGGGAACTTCCCCTATATTTCATTTGATTTGTTTTGATGTCCCATACAGGAATATTTATGGTGTAGGGGTGGGGATCTCAACTGTTTACAAGGTCTCAAAGAGGGGGATCGCGACCGTTTACAAGATAAAAGCACATTCTCAAATTGAAGTGGGGTGGGGTAACCCCAATAGACTCACTCTATATCTTATTTTATTTGTTTTATTTTTATTGTCCTGTTATTATAACTAAAGACTGTGTGTGTCTATTACTTACTGTTTTTAAGTTATAGTCTTTAGAAATTATAAATAATAAAATCCCATAGGGTTCTATAGTAAACCCCTCATTTCTTTAGGTCCCTCAAAATACCCCTAAATAGACCACAATTCACAAAAGAAAGATTGATGGCTCTCCTAGACATGTTAGTCTAAAATTTTATGAAACCCTAAGTAAATCTGACAAGCGGTTTTGGAGAACCGCTGCAGATAAGTTCATCTTTAAAGTGTCAGAAGTGGACCCAGTCTAACTTGTCTCTGGGACAAGTTGTCCCGCATTCATTAAAATATATCATTGATTTCCGGTTCCATTTCTTTCATAAAATAACAACAACTTTATTTTGCAAGGTCAGTGATAAACGGAATAATATAGTAAAAATAAGGAATTTAAATGTGCATACATTTAATTGAAAGCAATTAAATAATCATAATCTTCTTTAACAAAAAGAATATCATGATTAACAATGCTTACTTTTAATCGGGCAATGTATACTAGATCTTACTAACTTACGTTTCGTGCAAGTTAAAACTACCCCAACTTAGACTACTATACTTGATGCCAAACAATATTCCTGCACCTTTTGCCATTTGGGAAATGTAAACTACTTGTAATTAGAGATTTTCGGCAATGAAATATTTCATACAATTGTTTTTTAACATCTTAGCCAATAGCACAGGGGATAATAAAATACATACAGAATTCTATTGAGCACTATTTCCTATGTGCAACTTCAAATATTTTACGTCATTCAACGATTATTTAAGGTTATTCTAGTCATATTTTTTGTATTCCAGAATTAAAAGTATCAAAAAAGTGTCCAATTAGTTATAAATAACATATTGGCCTGCTAGATAATAACAATGGCACTTTTTCAGCATTCGTTGGGAGGAACACAAATCTAGGGTGGTAGCATAAGGCAGCTTAACTGCCTAAAAATAAAAAAGAAATAAAGAAAAATGGTCTGAAAAAATAAAGAATGAAGGACCCCATCATGACCCTATTTAGCAAGGATTCCTTAAAGTCAACACTACACCCATACTTCTGTGGTGAAATCCTTCTGGCTGTTGATGTCTAGAATCCTGTCTGTCATGTCCTTGTCTCCGTCTTTCCTCATCTTCAAATGCCTAAAACATCAAATATTCTTTTAGTTTAATATCTGTAAAACAACTTATTTTTAAGGATATTTAGAACTCTTCAGTTGACTTCACAAAGATTAAACTTTCTAAAAAAAATATGTATTTATTTCATTTAATAGTGAAAACCAAATTTTAATGTGTTTAGTACAATTCTATTCTCCCTATTTTTTCTTCTAAAGAATCTCTTTAATTAATTGCATGCACAAATTAGTTGGTTAACAATATAATATTTAAATTCCATATTAACTATATATTCATTTTTACCAGGTTTGTATATAATGGATTATACTTCTAATTCTGTTCATATACATTGCCATATAATAGAATAATATCCTATTTTGTAATCTCTGCATAACTAAATCAAGTTTACCTTTACTACTTCATCATCTTTAAAGTACAGCACAAACTTAACCTCCTTAATACTAGACTTTGGATTCTGTCCAGAGAAATTCTCTACACAGCTAATCATATGCTTGGCAACAAGATCTTTTGGGTACCCTAAGTTGCCAGTCCCCAAGGCTGGAAATGCTACAGAGCTGCAATGCTTACTATCAGCCATGGTTAGACAACCATTTACAAATGTCTCAAGAACCTAAAAATTAATTCATAAACTCTGTTATAGATACAAAGGAAATATATGTGTATATAAGCACTGCAATACTTTTGATTAAATATACCCGGTATATGTTACTGGCATTTTCTAAATTTAGTCATTTTGTAAAATGCCTTAAAACTTTAGGCATTTTCTAAAATGCTTGCAAGATTCAGACATTTAACATAATGACTAATTCTTCTAGGTATTTTACAAAATGCCTGGAAAAATTGAAAGGCATTTTATAAAATGCCTGAAATTTTTTAAAGAATGAAATAACAAAATATCAGTTGAAAGCTTTGAACAACCAAGCAGTTTTATTTATGATAATTACTGAATGTCAAAGCTTGCATTTTAAGTTTTAATAATCAAAAATAAGTTTTACTGAACTATTCCAAATTCACACAAGCACAGTACAGAACTCGACAATTATTTGTTATTTCTTAAAATGTTTGAATGACAGAACTGTCACACAATATTTGTCCTGATTTTTTACAAATACATTATTCCACCACATTTAAAAAACCTGGATCATGACACATTTAGCTCATTTATTACCTTTTCTGATAAAATACTTAAGTAACTTAACGTTTGACAACATTGGGTTTCGCAATATGTACACACGTCACACTTGAATATCTTCTGTTTCATATTTTCCCAAAAGATTCAAAGTACATTATCTTGAACTGTCTGTCCCTATCCGAAATAATTTCATTTCAAGCGGCAGTCAAAATTCCTGTTCTTTATCCAGGTTGATCCACTGCAGACACAACCCATATATATATATGAATTATATCTAAATTGTTCTCGTCTTAAAAATGCATAAAATATATGCTGCTGAAAGCAAACAAACCAATCACTCAATTCTTAAAAACAAACTTCTTTTTCTCTTCTTCATATGTTTCACTTCACTGTTTTGAATCTGGATTTTCTGAAAAATTTGTTTGTAAATTTTGTTCTTATGAAAGAACAATTTGTCCTTCTGCCATTTTGACAAAATAATCATAAATTTACTATCTACAAATACAGAGTGAGCACAAACTTAACTTAGTTTCACTAAAAAGCACATATCATATGACTTACATACATTCCCAGCTGGTTTTTGAAGAATAAATTAATTCTACCGAAACATTAGTTATTTTTTTTTGCAAAACTTTGTGTTTTTGTTCACCTTTTGTCATATGCATCTCAATGATACCATTTTTGTATAAATTGCCTGAAACTGAACAGGCAATTTGTTAAATTTTGTTTCAAAATTTCAGTCATTTTTACAAAATGACTAGGTATAAATTGCCTGAAAATTCAGTCATTTTACAAAATGCCTAAATTTAGAAAATGCCTGTAACATATATAAAATGGAGTGCTAATTATATTGAAAAAAAATAGAAATGCTAAATGAAGAGCCTGTGTCGCTCACCTAGGTCACCAAGTTGCCTCTTCAACATCAAAGGCAAACATAGAATTTTTGACAAAAATCTCTACATTGTTGATCTTGTATTGCTGATTATTTTTTCTGTTTACAGTTTCTCTCTATCTTCATAAGTTTTTCTTTATCAAAACACAAAAGAGGGTATAAAAAATTGCCATTTTACAGCAATCACTCCTATAAAGAATCTACTAGCTATTTTGGAAAATTTTATCTTGTTTTTAGATCTTGTCTTGCTAGTTATTCTTTTCTTTTAAGTTTCTGTCTGTCTTTTATAGTTTTGAAGATTGATGGCAAAATTTTTAATAGATTGGTAAAAATCATCATTAAATGACAATAACTCCAATAACTAGTCTATCTATTATAGTTTTCAAGATATTAGGCAAAAACACTAAAATATGGTAAAAATCATCATTAAAGAACAAAAACTCCAATTATGAGTCGACTGAAGATTTCAATGCTGTTGACTTATTCGAACATCTTGTCTTGCTCATCATTATTGCTAATTAAAGATCTGCTTTCATACATAAAATAATTAATAAAATCCAATAATTTTTATTGGAAGTTAAAATAAAAGACTGACTTATGAAAAAAGAAGATTTTTTTCTCTTTTAAAAAACAAACTATATATGATACTGAAAGGCAACTACTATAAATTCATTTGTTATTGTGGGGTAATTATTAATGTGAATAATGCAACTGTGTAAGTATCTCAATAATAAGAACTCCCATTCTGATATCTGATACATTATCTGAATGAACTAGATATCATTGAGAAAGGAGCCATCTCTGTGGGCCCCGCTGTGAATAATGTGTGGTAAAAAATTTGTATCTTTATCATTGAACATGGGGTTGTCAACTGAAACCGAAGTTTATGACCTTGACCTTTGACCTAGGAAGTTGTACATACATTATGACACACCCTCTGGTGTTGGTTTATATACATGTCAAGTATAAACTTTGAAATCATAACAGTTCTCAAGATATAGAGCTGGCACGATCTTTACCATAGGACATGGGGTTGTCAACTAAAACCAAAGTTTTTGACCTTGACCTTTGACCTAGGAAGTTGTACATACATTATGACACACCCTCTGGTGTTGGTTAATATACATGTCAAGTATAAACTTTGAAATCATAACGGTTCTCTAGATATAGAGCGGACACAATTTGTTACGGACGGACGGACAGACGGATGGACAGACTGATCACTATAGGGCATCCGCCATTCGACGGGGCCCTAATAAACTTTGAAATCATAACGGTTCTCTAGATATAGAGCGGACACAATTTGTTACGGACGGATGGACAGACAGACGGTCGGACAGACGGTCGGACAGTCGGTCAGACGGACAGACAGACGGACGGACGGACAGACTGATCACTATAGGGCGTCCGCCATTCGGCAGGGCTTTAATTAAGTTTTTCCCAAGATCACAATAATTATCTCATATTTTTGTTCAGTCTTCAAAAATCATATCATAAATGCACACACTAATTTCTAAATTTACAATAATCAGAGCAATTTTATTATGCATCAGATTATAACAATCTGAAAATATTATAGCCCTTATTTTCATTTTCATATATGTTTCCCTTTGCATCCAATCACATATAATTTAATTTTGGATGTAACGCGTCTTCTGATTGGCTGACGTTGTTTTGTTTATCAGCTCATAGACACAATTTTGTCATGTGACCGTGACGTCATCAACGTTTTTTCATGGTTTACTCCGGTTTAAAATGGAATTTAGAATTAAATTATAAGAAATGACTGTAACATTTTTTCTGTCTATTCAAAATAACATAAAAAATGTGGTGCACACTTTAAAATAACCCGCTACGCGGGTTATTCAGTGTGCACCACATTTTTGATGTTATTTCTTCATAGACAGAAAAAATATTACAGTCATTCCTTAAATAACAAAACCAACAGGCAACCTGATTTATTGTAAACAAAATAAGTCCTATTCTAAATACTTATAATATACCTTAATGGTTGATCCGTCTGGACGCCATGGTTCTAAACAGCCATGAAGAACAATTTTGCATTTTAATTTGCCACCCTTTGTTACAGCAACTTCCCCAGAGTTAATTCCCTTTGGATATTTCTGTTTACATTCATCCTGAAGACCAGAGCCTCCAGCTCTCAATAAAGACTGTGATACAAGTCCAGCAGAGAGGTTTAAGTCTGCAGATGTTGTATTCACAATTGCATCAGTCTGTAATATAAATAAGAGTTAAGATTCACTATATATCTATCATTCTTGACAAAATTTTGCAAATAAATGCATAGTTTATATAATTGATTGTAAGCTCAAATTTAATATTTCACAGGCTCATAACAGTAAAAAATTCACAAGTATTTTTTGTTGAGCTTGTTTTAGAGTACTTTTCAAAGGATAATGATCATTGGGGTCACTATTTATCATTTAGTGGGGAAAAATTTGCCACAAGATGGTTAGAAAACAACAAATTAAAGATTTACTGTGGTACAGAAATATAGGAAATATGAAAAATGTTTAAACATCAAAATCTGAAAATGCTGAAGAAAAAAACTAAATTAAAAAAAATGAATTTCTTTTCCATGTTCCTTTTTCTTTCACACTTTACATACCCTTGACACTAGATGGAATTTCATGTCTCTTGTCCTTTAAATACGGTTGCTTTTTAGAAACTTATATTATATTAGTGGCTACTTAACAACACTGTTTCTATATAAGGTTCAATGCAATATAAATTTTATACTTATAAAATCAGGCTTACTTCCATCTTTGCTAATTCTCCTTTTTCAATTCTAATTCGTATATTTCCTTTGGGAATAGATCCAGAGGGATCTGACCCTTTACCTGAAAAAATAGGTACAGCTGTATGTATATACAGGTAACTAATGGTAAGGGAGTTCTCTCTAAAGTGGTCATATTGCATTTTTTAAGTAATAACTGCAATATGTGTTTTTTTCTTAAAAAAAAAAATTTTACAACAAAAATTGATATTACACATACTAGTGTATTTTTCCCGATATGTTCATGACTTGAGAGTATTTTTTCTCTTAAGTTCTGTTGTGAAATTAATTGCAAATGACTGAATAACTGTAAATTCAAATATTTTTTCTCTGTTTTTAGTTTTCTATGAGCACTCCTGCTTTCTCCACTAATAAAAACTGAACACAATGAAATAGCATAATAGTGCTGAAAGTGGCTTTAAACATCAATCAATCAATATCAATCATTCAATCAATCTCTGTTTATTATTATCTAATTGCATATGCATGACCACTCAAATTGATATGTCAGGCCTGAACATTGTAGCTAACAACAACCAGTACAGATGAAAGTATTTTCTCAAAGATTTAACCAATATGAAATTGTATATTTTTCCAATTTATGAAAAATTTCAACAACTATCAGATATGAAACCTGAATGCCTGTTTCCACCACCAGATGGGGTTCTTCCTCCATCCGTTCTCTGATTAAACAACTTGTCCCCTGCCTTCACAAACAGGTCTACAGAGCTCTCATTGACATCACATAGGTAAACAGTCTCAACTATGCTTGTCTTGCATGTCTTGCTCCTCTTGAAATAGTCCCTAACTGCCTGAACAATTGCTCTAGTTGCCTGGTGTGCCGGGTAACCAAAAATCCCAGTACACAGAGCTGGGATTGCAATTGTAGTATACTTCTTTTTTTCCGTCTCAACTATTGCTCTTTCAACACATTTCTGTAGTAGGTCTTCTTCTCTATTAGAACCACCTTGCCATGACGGACCAACAGCATGGACAATCATCTGACATTTTAATGTTCCAGGTTTAGAACAGTAACATTCACCTTCTGATAATGCACCTTTATACTTAAAGAACTTGTTACATTCCTCCTGTATACTATAGCCACCTATAACATTACAGAATTGCATTATCAAAATTGAAATAAAACAAGAATGTGTCCACAGATCCCCACTAGCAAGTTATCATTTTCTATGTTCAGTGGACTGTGAAATTGGGGTAAAAACTCTAATTTGGCGTTAAATTAGAAAGATCATATCATAGGGAACATGTGTACAAAGTTTCAAGTTGATTGGACTTCAACTTCATCAAAAACTACCTTGACCAAAAACTTTAATCTTATTCCAAAGAGAAATTTAAACACTTTCTGTATTTGGGAATATTGAAGTGGCCTTTCTTTTTCCTCGAAGCCTACGTTAGAATCTTAGTTAATAAGTATTGTTGTTGAATGAAAAAGAACTTACCCTTTTGAACCAGAGCTTTGGCCAGACCACCACTATGATTCAAATCTTTATTGGCTCCATTGACTATAACATCCACATCCAGTCCTGTAATGTCACCTTTGATTACAATGACCTCTTGACCTCCAGCGGCTGTATACACTGCTCTTTCATCTAAACCTGTTGATTTTGACCCAATGTGTTTACCATATGACATCTCATCTTCATTACTACTGATGACAACACCAGCCCTTCTACTGACTTGAGTTAATTTGGACTTTCCTTGGGAACTATTAACTAGGTCTTGTAATCCTGGTTGGTGGATTGAGTGTTTGGTTTTCAGTATTTTGCTTACTAAGGCCTTCACTTCATCTTTAGCCTCTTGTATTCCCTGTGCATTACCTTTGACCAATACATCATCACTCTTGACAGTAACGATGACATGTCTACGTTTTAGGTCACTCTCAAGTCTTGATACTTCACTAGACATATGATCATTTAGAAATTTTAATTGAGCAGGTGGAAAGTCAATCCTGATCTGTGTTTCAGTGTTGTGATAAAAGAAGTCTTGAATCTTCTCTCTCAATAGTCCTGCTTCTCCTCTTGATGTACAATATACAATTATCTCCCCCTGATTACTATCTGTAATGATCTCTATTATGACAGGTTTTCTCTGGTATTCCTCATTGATTGCTTGGACATGTTGGCTCCATTTATGAGTTCGCAGTAGAGGTCTCTGTGGCGTTTCCAAAGGTATTTCTGTTTCTATCACACTGTCTTTCAGTACAACGGTGGCAGCTACTGCTTCCTCATCAGACACAGCATACATTGTAATGGTGTTCTTCTGAATATCCCATATGCCAATGAAACCCTGGCTTTTTATTTCCTTTCCAACAAATGTCTTAACATCCTTTCTATTCAGAAACTTGATATATCCTGGTGATTTCTTACCAACATCTACTGACACTAAGCTCTGTACTTGTTCAAACATGCTTATTTTTGCATTGTTTACATTTCCTGACAACCCATGAAATATTATAACACCCTCTCTGGTATCTATAGATATTTCCATTTTGTTGAAATTCTGTCTGATATTGTCTATAAATTTTGAAAAATCAAGATATAACAACTGGTGATGCTTCAAGGGGACTTTTTCTGTAACCAATTTCTTCTCTCTATCTAGATCTTCAGAAACTTCATTAATGATTTGTTTTATAATATCTGAAACTTCTTTCACTGCTTTTTTAAGACCAACAACAATAATTTCACAAGCAGGTGGTTTCTCCACACTGACACTAACATCTTCAGGATCTGATATGATAATTTCCCGTAGTTTTTGCATGACACCACTCCAAGCTTCCTGTAATGTAGAATGTTTCTCTGTTATCAAGGCATCAACATGTGTACTAAGATGCCTTTTGATATCATCTTCCCAGGACTTGGCAAGTTTTCTACAGTCTTCTGTTTCTTTGGTTAAGGTGCTCTCTATAACAATCTTAGAATTACGTATGGATGACGGCCAAGTTATTTTAGCATGATTTTGCACAACCTGTTTTTCAATAGCATCTCTCTTTGTAGTTGAATGCTTCAAGAAGTTAATCTTATATTTGTCAATATCAGTAATAACTAAAGGTGGCAATGGTTTGAACTTTGGTCCTTCTGTATCAGCAGGGACACCAAGACAATCATAGAAGACCTTCACATTCAGTGTACAGTTGTCAATGGTATGGGATTTTTTACAGGCCAATAATGCATCTAAAATACAATAATGGTTTCTTATTTGATTATTTGCAACTGAAAGAATGATACATAAATAAACCATACTAAATCATTATGCTCAGCCAATGCTTATTCAGATTCTGTACATTTCAATGAAGTCTTTCCAAACAGACAATATTCATTTCAAATTAACAAATAAATGGGGAATGTGTCCATGGGACACAGATGATACCCTGCTTGCATAAAATGTTATAAAGGGATACAACTCAAGAACCGTAGAAGTGAGGCTACCTTAATTTGTACTTGATCAAAGTTTTGTGGTAATAAGCATTGTGTATAAGTTTCATACCATTTGGTTGAGGCAAATTTAAGTAAGAGAATGGAAACGAAAAATTCAGCATTTTTTCCATTTGTAAAGGGGCATAACATTAGAATGGTAAGAGTGACAACACCAAAATTCAATCTAGATCTGTGTTTTGTGATAATAAGCATTGTGTATAAGTTTCATAAAATATAGTTGAGGCAAAATTGTTTTTTTATAAAAATCTCACAATACCATGGAGTTATCTCCCATTTATATTTCATATTCAAGCGTATCAATAAACAAATATGACAGATCTTTAGATATCTCTAGCCAAAAAACAATTACATTAACCAAAGATATATCCATCTTAGGCAAGCAAAGAGTTAAAGGATGTGATAATTCATAAAATATGTAAAGAAAAGGTTTTTTTATACACAAATCAGTACATCTGTTATATGTACTACCAAATTTTGTATGTTACTAAAGATAATATTCAATACTCTTTATTCATAGTACTGGTAATACCTTCAGCATTTTCAAAGTATATAACACAGTAATCCTCATCTTTATCCATCTTAACATTAGCAACGCCCTCTACACCAGATTTCCTTTTATTATCAAAGTAATATTCCAATCCACTTTCTGTCGTTTTCTCACTGAAACCTCTGACTACAATACAGTTTGTCACAACCACAGGATGAACTGTCAGGTAGCTGCCATCTAATGCCTTCTTCTTACAGGCTGTCTGGATATCTCCAATATCTGAAGAAAAACCAAAAAAAATTGTGAAACTAAACAATTCATATTTACAAGAGCTGTCAGAATGACAGTAAACTGGATTTTTTAACATTTATTTGTGTCCTGGCATTTATCAATATCACAAGGACCAAAACTCCTAAATGGCAAAAATCACAATCATCAATATCAAACTTGACCTCCATTTTGTCAACAGTTTCAACATTTTAAAATTTGAAAAGCTTTGGTTGAATGGTTCATGAGTAAATGGAAACGCCATTTTTCAATCTTTCTAGAACCATTACTTCTGAACAGGAAAAGTGAAAATCGCCATTATTGAACTTGACCTCTATTTTGTCATCAGTAACAACATATTTAAATTTGAAAAGCTTTGTTTGAACGGTTCATGAGTAAATGCACGGTCGCGACTGGAAACGCCATTTTTCAATCTTTCAAGAACCATAACTCCAGAACGTAAAAAAGTCAAAATCGTCATTATTGAACTTGACCTCCATTTTGTTGTCAGTAACAACATATTAAAATTTTAAAAGCTTTGGTTGAACGGTTCATGAGTAAATGCACGGAACAACATTTGGCTGCCGACCGACCACCCGCTGTACATCTCCAAATCGATAACCGATTTTTACTTCATAAATCCAGTTAATAAAACAGAAATTCACCTTGCAAAAAGTATAAGATTTTTTGGACCAATTAACAGAAATTGTCCATATGATTAAGACAGGGTAAAAAGACTTGAAAAGGGAAGTTAATGTATTGTGAATAAACTCTAATTAAACTTTTCAAATCAGAGCCTTCAAACCATTCAGAATAGTTGTATATATATATATATATATACCTAGAAAAAGGACATCTCACTTTGGAAAATTTGGGTAGATACAAAATAGTTATTATAAGTTAAGGTCATGGAGCAGTATGGCTATTTCATAGATTTTGAAATATTCAGCAAACACACAAATTTTGCATATTGTACTATATAAATGAAAATCAAACAATTTATTTATCTAACTTATATACTTGGTAAAGTTTTATTTAATGAACATTTTTAAACTAGTTCAACATTAATTTTGTATAAAATGTACAGAAATATCTGAGAAAATTTGTTCTACAAAGTAGTTTTTGTCCTTGTGACTCCTAGCTATGTTTCACTATTCATTATTGACATATTCTATATTTAAATAAATGAACATGCTGAACACATGCATAACCTATCTCCTAATAAAGCTCAAATTAAAGGTTGCATATGGGCACTAGGACCCAAATGAGTTCACATTATTGTCTTGCATGTCAGCATATTTTTTAAAAGGCTTGCTGTCTGGCTGCTTATAGCAAATTGTCATTTCAATGTTCCACTTTAATTTATGTTTGAAAGAAAACAAAATCCTACTTCAACTGTTTGTCTCAATTGTAGCTTATACCAATTTAGGTGAAATATTAGCTACATTCTCAATGGAGAGCAACCAGGCTGTATAGGCAATCCTCAAAAAGCTTTCTACCAAGACCCTACAAACATTGTATGAAAATTAAAGATTTACAACTCAGAAATTGTACAGATTTCAAGAAATTTAGCAAACTATCTTGTTTCTAAAGCTTAACTACACATCATTCAAACAAACCTATTGGTTCACAAAATGTAACAATAGCCTTCCCAGAATCCTCATCACCAAAGTCTACTTCCTCCACATCAAGTTTCGTCCTGGCTTCAAGAAAGTTTATTATGCCATCTTTGGTTGTCTTTGGATTAAAGCCTTTAACCAATGCCTTGTTTGGATATCTTTTGGGTGGAATGTGTTTCTTTACTTGTAACTTAGTACCATCTACCACGTTAGATTTCCCTAGCACTCTATTAACAGCTTCAAGCAAAGAATATACAATATTACACAAACCATTTTTTGCAAACAAGAAGCAACAAGTAAAACTGTGAGCTACTGCTCACTGATGATACCCCCAGCCGAAATATTTCGGTAAACAGGAAGTTGTTGAGTGATGAATCTGAAAACACATCACACGGTATAGCTGACTTATATAAACCCTGAAACCAAATTTCAGAAATCCTTGTCAAGTAGTTCCTGAGAAAAATGTGACAAAAATTTTCAACTTGGCTATCATGTGGAAAATAATACAAGTGTTCGGTAAACAGGAATTTGTTGAGTGAAGAATCTGAAAACGCATCATACGGTGAAACATACTTATATAAACCCTGAAACCAAATTTCAGAAATCCTTGTCAAGTAGTTCCTGAGAAAAATGTGACGAAAATTTTCAACTTGGCTATCATGTGTAAAATAATACAAGTGTTCGGTAAACAGGAAGTTGTTGAGTGATGAATTTGAAAACGCATCACACGGTGTAACTTACTTATATAAACCCTGAAACCAAATTTCAAAAATCCTTGTCAAGTAGTTCCTGAAAAAAATGTGACAAAAATTTTCATGGGACGGACGGATGGACTGACGGATGGACGGACAGAGGTAAAACAGTATACCCCCCCTTTTTTAAAGGGGGGGGTATAATAAACAAAACCTTTACAATGTTCATCTTCCAACCAATGAATTTGCACTCAGTGATAAATCTGATAATAACTCTATATCATTTCATTAAGAAATACGGAAATACATAACTGGCAATATATTTGAATTAAAAACATTGTAATTTAGGAGTCCACTATGCGAACACACCAAAGTCAATGAACTGTAAAGGGAGCTGTTTTTCCTACTACTTTGTTGTTTGTTCCCCTTGTCTCATCAAGTTCTGGGATATTGGACAAACTATGTACCTTTATAAACAAGATTATTATCTAAAAGACATTTATGGTTGAACACAAGTTTACATTCAATAAATATTCTGTAAAAACGGTGGCAGCTAGTATACTTGTTGCCCTATAAAATGTTCCATAACTGCAGGCCGAAGAAGTCTTGCTCATTTCAAATACAAATGGTAGAGTGCCCTGAATTAAGTGAGTGACATCACATTTATAATTCCAAGGGACAATGAGGCCCACTGAGATGTCTGTCATGTACAAGAAAAAGGATTTTCCAAACAAGAATATGTAAATGGGTGCATATGGTCTCTGGAGAAATAGTTACAGAACTATAAATAATGCTTACTTATAATTTAATCAATTTCCTCAAATAAATAGAATAATCAAGTTAACAAATTGTCCACCATTACAAAACCATGACTTTAGAGAGTAGGGCCAAAAAATCACCATAGACATGAGATGTTCTAATACTGATACAACTGTATACCAAACTTTCATGTGTAACTTATTGTTTCCCCTGAAACAAACCTTATCATGAATTTTAACATTAAAACTTGACAAAACTTCAGTCAATGACTAAAATGGATGGGACAAATAACCTCCATTGAAATGAGAGTTGTGTCTATGCTACTGTAACTGAATACCAAAAATCATTGACTTTTACCAAGTAGTTCTCAGAAACAGACCTTATGATAACCTAATTACTATTAAAAACTGTTGACACCTCTACAGAAGCTGCTAGAAACACCATGCATATGTTTTTTTTTTGTAATTTATTTTTATTTTATCTGAACTAGCTAGGATCTAGGATCGCTATGTCTCGCTTTTGCGAAACTTATAATTTTGCAGGCTATAAAAATTTTGCAGGCTCAACACAAGAGTGCACACGCTGAAATGTCTCACCTTCTTTACTAACCATTGATTTTATGTTGATAGTCCTAAATATAAAGCTTTAATACAAGTAACACATAAACTTAACATGATCCAAGAAAATGAGGTCAAGGTCAGATAAAACAAACGAGAAATACATGTACACCTTACAATCATTCAATAAACCAAACATAGTTGACCTATTGCTTATAGTTTCTAAGAAACAGTCTTAACCAAGAAAACTTAACATTGACCAATGAACCATGAAAATGAGGTCAAGGTCAGATGAACCATGCCAGACAGACCTGTACACCTTACAATCAATGTATGCATTAAATATAGTTGACCTATTGCTTATAGTATCTAAGAAACAAACTTAACCATGAAAACTAAATTAACATTGACCAATGAACAATGAAAATGAGGTCAAGGTCAGATGATACCTGCTAGACAGACATATACACCTTACAATCCTTCCATACAACAAATATAGTTGATCTATTGCTTATAGTTGAAGAAAAACAGACCAAAACACAAAAACTTAACACTGAGAAATGAACTGTGAAAATGAGGTCAAGGTCATATAAAACCTGCGAGACTGACATGTACATCATAAAATATTTCCATACACCAAATATAGTTGACCTATTGCCTATAGTATTAGAAAAAAGACCAAAACTCAAAAACTTAACTTTGACCACTGAACCATGAAAATGAGGTCAAGGTCAGATGACACCTACCAGTTGAACATGTTCACCTTACAATCATTCCATATACCAAATATAGTAGAACTACTGCTTATAGTATCTGATATATGGACTTGACCACGAAAACTTAACCTTGTTCACTGATCCATGAAATGAGGTCGAGGTCAAATGAAAATTGTCTGACGGGCATGAGGACCTTGCAAGGTACACACATACTAAATATAGTTATTCTATTACCCATAACAAGAAAGAAATTAACATTACAAAAAATGTTGACTTTTTTTCAAGTAGTCACTGAACCATGAAAATGAGGTCAAGGACAATGGACATATGACAGACAGAAACTTCGTAACATAAGGAATCTATATACAAAGTATGAAGCATCCAGGTCTTCTAGCTTCTAAAATATTAAGCTTTTAAAAAGTTAGCTAACGCCGCCGCCGCCGGATCACTATCCCTCTGTCGAGCTAAATAATTCTGCGACAAAAGTCGCAGGCTCGACAAAAACCAACAAGCATTGTGATATATAAATACATAGATTATTTATAATACATGTATTAATATTAAATTTTTCAATAACAGTCTAAAGTTAAAATGTTAGATATGCTAATTTTATATTATATATATATGATAATTATCTACTTGATCATACTCATCATTTATCACTCTTAGTGGAGTGACAAAATCAAGAAAAAGGTGCTTATTTTACGACTTTAATGGAAATACATACAATCTACTTATTGAAGTATTATAACTATGTAAAGGAGCTAGAATAGCTAGAATTTTGAAATTGGAGGTGCAAAAAAGGGGGGGGGGGTCAATATACCATGGCAGGGGGGGGGGGGGTCAAAATACTATGGTTAATAAGTAAAATTTTCAAAACATCTTTTCAAGCATGTAAAATACATACAAACTACTTATTGGAGTATGATTACTATGTTAATGAGTTAGAATAGCTAGATTGTTTTAAATTAGAGGTCGAATAAAATACATACAAACTACTTATTGGAGAGTTATTACTATATACAAGAGTTAGAATTGCTAGAATTTTTGACAACCCAAGTCAAGGGGAGATAATTCAAATACAATCAAGCAAAAGCAAGTATATCAATATATATTTAACAATATCAATAAACATCATAGATAGCACTTTTATGATGCATACAAATCACTGTCCAGTTGTGATGTGCATCAACATATTATTAATTCTACATGAATTATTATAAAGCCTTAAGTGAGTACAAAAAAGAAAGATCTCTCCTCACATGTAAACTAAGTTTTTAGTCAATTCCCATTTACTATCAAATTTCTCTCTTGCTTGAGGGTATCTGTAAAAGGAGGTAGATATTTTTTCTATTTGGTAGGCATTTTTAATCATAGCTATAGCACCTGTAAGAGTCGATTATGAAGTGTTAAAGCGACATGTATAAATGTAATACTTAATCAGAATAGTGAATAAGTTTAGGGAAACATCCCAAGACTCTGACCCAAGAACAAAATTTTCCACATTAAATATTGAAGTTAGATTATTTTTAACTTGAAAAAGTACTGCAATTTTTAACCATAAATTTCTAACTTGGGTATATTCCCAAAAAAGGTGACTTATAGTTTCTTGAGTTTCATTACAGAAACTACATAAGTCTGTTTCTATTAACCCATATTTCTGCAATAATGCATTTGTAGCGAGAGTTCTATGTAAAACCTTAAAATGGAACATACTAAATTTGTTGTTTTTAGTGCAACAAAAGGGTAAACTATAAATGAAATCCCAATTTTCTATATGAGTGCTTAGTTCTTTACACATTTTGTCTTCTTGTTTTGTAGGACGTTCTGTATACATTGACAAGAATTTTTTATAAAAGAATTAATTGACAGGACTTTTTATTGTTTTTAATAAATTCAAATTTTCATTAGATATGTGCATAATTTTCTCTGAAGTAATGATTAGATCTTTCCAGGTTTTTGGTATCATATGAAGTATAGAATGGTATTCCAAGAAATTAACATTAAGATTATATTTTCTGCAGAATTCCTTTAAAGTCAAAAATTCACTGTTTTCATCAAGTAAATCACCTACAATGAAAACTCCTGTCAGATTCAACCTACCTCTGGTAAAAGACGGTTTTATTATTTATTGTCAAACTCTTGTTTAGCCATATGGATTGTTTCATGATCCCTTCAGCAGTGTCATTAGTGACAGTGTTTAGGATATTCCAGTTAGTAAAATATCTTTCTTAAAATTATTAAAATTTGTAGAAATCTTTTGGATACCATCAGGGGTCATCAACCATATTTTGTCTGCTCCGAATCTGTTGTATTGATCTATTAACAGTGTTTTCCATGGTGATATATTCAAGGGGTCTAAAAGTTTATTTATCCATGTCATCTTTAGTGAATAACAAAAAGATCTTATATCTGGCATTTTCAAACCCCCTTTTTTATATAACCCTATCATATCTTTTCTTCTAATCTTATCTGGTTTTCCTGACCACAAGAAATTAAAAAAAATATTTTGAATTTATTTTATTTTATCAACCGGTGGGTTTGGCAAAACTGTCAATGACTGAATTAGAATAGGTAGAGCTAATGATTTAATAACAGTGATCTTTCCCATATATGTTAAATCTCTATATACCTAGGAATTAAATGAGCTCTGTATTTTTTTTATTTTTCCACAAAATTTACAAGCGTTTTATTTTCACTGAAAAGATCAAATTTTATTCCTAAAGTTAAAATTTTCCTGAATAATTCCAGTTCAAATTTCTTGTAGTAAAGTATGCATAAGTTTCTTGAATGTGATAAAAACACAAATATCAAAAAGGCAATCAAATACAAAAATTCGTAAGGGTTCCACGGAACCCAGTGTCTCGCCTACTTTTTCTGTTAAACGCAGGCTCAACAAAAATGAGGAAGTAAATCAATAAAAATATTCCTCTTGATACTATCTTTTGATTGTAAGAAGCTTCTGTCCAAGTTTGGTAAAAATCCAGGATAGTTTATGAATCTAATAAATGTTTAAAAACTTTAACTGCAGACTGAATGTAATGTTAACTGGAAGAAAACAAAATTTCCTTCTAGATACTAGCTTTTGATCATAAACAAGCGTCTGTCCAAGTTTGGTACAAATCCAAAATAGTATAAGAAAGTTATTAAAATTTTAAAAACTTTAACCACAGAGTGAATGTGTTGTTTCCTGGCAGAAAATCTTAGTCCATTTAAAAGTAAAATAAGGAAAAAATGGATTTATTTTTTTACAAAATTTACTTCTGGATACTATCTTATGATCATAAACAAGCTTCTGTCCAAGTTTGGTACAAACCCAGGATAGTTTTAGAAAGTTATTAAAATTTTAAAAACTTTAACCACAGAGTGAATGTAATATTTCCCGGCAGAAAAACTAAGTCCATTTATAAGTAAAATACGGAAAAAATGGAATTTTATTTTTACAAAATTTACTTCTGGATACTATCTTATGATCATAAACAAGCTTCTGTCCAAGTTTGGTAGAAATCAAGGATTGTTTAAGAAAGTTATTAAAATTTCAAAAACTTTAACCACAGAGTGAATATTTGTGGACGCCGCCGATGACGACGACGCCGACGGAATGTAGGATCGCTATGTCTCGCTTTTTCGACTAAAGTCGAAGGCTCTACAATAAAACAACATAACAAGAGGCTCCTAAGAGCCTGAATTCTTCATCAGGCACTAATAAGCCATAACCTTAACATCTGGGTGAAATTGTTTTACAAAATCTAACCTTATATTCTTTCCTGAGAATATTATAATAGTACACGGATGCCCCATTCGCACTATCATTTTCTATGTTCAGTAGACCATAAAATTGGGTTCTAAACTCTAATTTGGCATTAAAATTAGAAAGATCATATCATAGGGAACATGTGTACTAAGTTTCAACATCAACAAAAACTACCTTGACCAAAAACTTTAACCTGAAGAGGGACAGACGGACGAATGGACAGACGAATGGAATAATGGACAAAGGAACAGGCACACAGATCGAAAATATAATGCTAAAAAATTATGCATAAAAAAATTGTGGTAGAAAGGGGTCTATATAATACATTTATTGGGGTGGACCATGGAATTCAACCACGAGGGGGGGGGGGGGGGGTCTCAACATGGGATTTTGGGTACAGTTGTGCAGCTGGGATTTAAAAAACACCCCCCATTCATATATTGAACAAGAAATGATTGTAACAGGATGCTGTTACGAAGTCTCCCAAACGAAGCTCCCATAATTCGTAATTCCCAGGGTCGCCTGACATTGGGCAAAGTCCAGTGAAAATTGGTTTGGTCCAGTAAAGTTATATGCATAAGTGATGCCTGGGGACTAACCCTGTATATCATTCAAATCATCTTGGCATGACAAACCAGAATATATATATGGTTTATGGGTGAGGATCCCGACCACTTACAAGATACTAGAACATTGGGGGTGGGGGGAACCTCTGGGGACTGACCCTATACGTCATTCAAATGTTCGAGACATGAGGAACAGGAATATATATGGTTTAGGGGTGGGTATCTCGACCATTTACAAGATATTAGAACATTGGGGGTGGGGGAACCCCTTGGGACGGACCCTATATGTCATTCAAATGTTCGAGACATGACGAACAGCAATATATATGGTTTAGAGGTGGGGATCTTGACCACTTACAAGATAATAGAACTTTCTCAAATGGCAGGGGGTGGGGGTGACCCCTGGTGACTAACCCTGTATTTCATTTGATGTGCTTTATCATGACAAACCAGAATATATATGGTTTAGGGGTGGGGATCTCCACCATTTACAAGATATTAGAACTTTCTCAAATGGCAGGGGGTCAGGATGACCCCTGGGGACTAACCCTGTATATCATTTAAACAATCTTTGCATGACAAACCAGAATATATATAGTTTAGGGGTGGGGATCTTGACCACTTACAAGATATTAGAACTTTCTTAAAAGGCAGGGGGTGGGGTTGACCCCTGGGGACTAACCCTGTATTTCATTTTATGTGCTTTATCATTTAGAACATTTTCAATTAAAAAGATTGTGTCTATCACAAAAGGTTTTCAATTGCCCCTGAAAGTACCCCTTTATAAACCCCATTGCACAAACAAAACCCTGATTGCACCACTAGACATGTTAGTCTACCATATTGTGGATCCCTAAGTTAATCTATTAAGCGGTTTTGGAGAACGGGTGCAGACAAGTTCAAATTTAAAAGCTGCGGAAGAAGAAGAAGAAAACTGAGCAAAATCAATAAGTCTTCCCAAAATTCGTTTGGGAGACTTAATAATTGTGAAATCCCTACCTATACATATATTTCACAGTGAAATCATAACCCATTCATATATTTATCAGCTCAAATAGTACCTATATGCATATACAATCTTATTATATATCAAAAACACTTTTCAATTATATACTATTATATACTTTAATTTATATGAAATATTGAACTTTTCAAACAATAACATTTTAATGACTAAGAGTTTGGGAAATTCAGTGAAGATCATTGCACAACAAACTGAAAATTTATGACCCATTGATATATCACAATTGGTCAATTACTACCTATTGATATATTTCCTCAGTAAAATTGCACCCCATTGATATATTTGATGTATCAAAAAAGGACCCATTCCAGCGGCACATATGTATATACCTTCATATAGGAAGAGACCCCCCGTGAATTCAACAGTAAACAATATGTAGAAATAAGAAGATATGGTATGAGTGCCAATGAGACAACTCTCCATCCAAGTCACAATGTGTAAAAAGTATATCATTATAGGTCAAAGTACAGCCTTCAACATGGAGCCTTGGCTCACACCAAACAAGCTATAAAGCCCCCAAAATGACTAGTGTAAAACAATTGAACATGAAAACCAACAGTCTAATCTATGAAAATAAGAAAAAGAAACAAATATCACTTATGAACCACATCAACAAACGATAACCACTGAACAACAGGTTCCTGACTTAGGACAGGTACAAACAAATGCAGCGGGTTTAAACGTTTGAACAGGCACCAGTCTTGAATGTACATTTACCTTCTTCGTCCTCAAATGTAACTAAATACATGTCTTTATCCTCTATATACTCAATGTTTTCTACATCAGCATTAGCACCCTTCTTAGATTCAAAGTAATACATGATGGTATCTTGTGTTGTACGATCTGTCATACCTCTGACTTCTATTGTACAGGTAGGGGCTGGTTCACTGGTACTTAGGTTACTCTCATATTCTTCAGTGATTTCCATTGGTTCTTCTTCATTTACTATATGTGCTGAAACTTCTATTGCCTTCTTATTGAATAGTATTGGTATTTTCTTTAATACTATTTCCACAGCTGAAAAATGTTATAATTTATATAAGTTGTTAATTAATAAATTATGATTTTAAAGAAAGCAAATATACCTTCATTGTTGTGTAGAAATATTTGCTAATACAATATCATTTCATCTTGTTCATATATTATTAATATCATAAATAATCTAAGAAATGAACTATTGTAGAAAAATACTCAATGAGTGACTGAACACATTAATTCAGGAATGTATGTAGCTCATGAGTAAATTATCAGTGTTGTTCAGTCACAAATTGAATATTTTTTTATATTTTCAATTCTTTTTATTACACTGACAATGGACTTTTTCATGGAAATAAGGTTGAAAATTAAAGGAACTTAAGAAGCGAAATTATCAGATTTAATTCCCACTGAAATTATCTCTTTAACAGTTAACTTGGAAATCAGGGTATTTCTTGCAACCTATATAATATATATAACATCTTTTATCAGCTTTCCACAAACTGTATGTAATACCTTCATCTTCTTCAAAAGTAATAATAGCAGAAGCTGTGTCTTCATCGTATTCTACATTGTCTACATCACCTCCACCAAACTTCCTCGTGTTCTCAAAAAAGTTTTCTAAAAACTCTGCTGTAGTATTTGGTGGCAACTTTGTTACTTTAAGCATGTTTGTTGTAGTTTTTTTAAGTTTTTCTAATTAAAAAAAAAAAAACATAAACTTAATTTTTTTTATCATGACAAAATAACCTTAATCTGATAGCAAAGTTAAATAGATTCTGCAAACTGTATGAGTATTTAGATTGTAATATTCAATCGCCAGTATATCATGTATATTGTATTGATCATTGATGGGTTATTTCCCCTTATTGTTTCCCACCTCACATTCATTAATAAATGTGTCTTCATAAAGATCACTTGTCTTTGTATTCTCTCTGCTTATTGGTCAATGGTGACTGTTTAACAGCACGTAGAAAATATAGATTTAAGTTTGAAATCATATATCCTGCAATCGACCTTTCTACTATACTAATACCAGGTGTACAGATAACACGAAGCGATAAATGTATACTTGACGTTTATAGTCTCCTGGTATCCTGCTTCTGTTGTTAGCAAACGATTATGTCAAATTACTGTTTAATCCACAGTTCAATTTGGGGTCCTCATTGTTCGAAACAGGAGTAATAGCTCGCTGAAGCTCTCATTACATCTCTTTCTTAGCCTCGTACAAATACAACTGATATTTAAAAACACTAAAGAGTTATTGTCTAGTCAAATGCATTTTGTTAAAATATACTTTTTCTCTTTTTTGGTCTTTTGGAAAATGTTGTTCATGCTGTATTTAGACCCCTCTACCATTGTCTACCAAGAAATTTGTTTTGCATGCACACATATAAAAATTGCTTTTTTTTCCAACGCAATCATAGGTTGGAACCTTGTTTTCAATTAAGACTTGTTTATATTTTTCCGTTTGGACTTGTATTATATTTGCCTTCAGGTTTATATGATCCGTTCATCCTATTTTGGCTCTTCAAAATTCAAGAGTCTATCCTAAATTAAGGTAAATTATATGGCCTTCCAAATACCATTTCGATTCCTAACATCACTGAAGAGACATTAATTGTCAAAATCCGGATATGGTGTACTAATTTTTGCACCTTTTGTTTGCGTTATACCATCTTTTCCACAAGTTTATTGTATTCTGTTTGGTATTAAATTAATAATTAAGATCCATTTTGATACATCTGGTGATCTGTTTATTTGTCAATTGCCAATGGCAGTCAAAGGGTTTAAGAACATCTGTTGTTCAACCTGCTAGTCAAATGCGTTTTGTTATAATATACTTTTTCACTTTTAGCACATTCTTGTGAAATTAAAGAAACTTTCCACATAACATATGTTTTAATCATTTAAATCTAAGTAAGTTGAAACACTTATGTGTCATCAGTTTCTACTACCATTTGAATTTAACCTAAAAAGAGCAGTAAGCAAATGAATTCAATATTCAATATCGTTTAACATGGCAAGGGATTGAATTTGTTATAATATGGAAAGGTGGTGTTTTTCATGTGATATTTTGGCATATAGCATGTATAGACCTACCTTCTGGTTTTTCTTGTTCACTGTTTTCATCTTTTTCTTCTTGCTGAACTGAAATTTCTTCCTCTAAATATTCAGCATTAGGTGATGATGATTGTGCCTGAGTAAGTTCATCTTTCTCAGTTTGTTCTGGATTAAAACTAGGATTTCCATGAGGGCCAAACTGCTGCACTTGTTGATGAGGGTCTAAACCATAAGGATGACCTTGACCTTGATATGGACCATAAGGACTATTATACATATCATAGCCTTGATATGGATGTGATCCCCATTGCCTTTGTTGTTGTGGTTGGAGGGGTCCTTTTTCCTGGTTTGGTGATGAACATCCTGTATATGGAGTTCCTGGAGGATATTGGTTCCATAGCATTCCATGTGGATACAAATGTTGCTGATGAGGATTTTGTGGATTGTGCCCATGCTGTTGCATGTACCTTGGATCATACTGTGGACTATATGGTGAAAATCCCTGGGGACCAGTAGGTTGTTGTAGAGGAGGTGCTGACGGATCAGTCCCTGGTCCTTGATTGGAAGGATTAGTTGGTAGTCCCTGGTTGGGATATATCAAAGAATATGATGGTGGGTGTTGCAATTCTGTGAATGGACCATGATGATTTGGTGGCCCAGTTATTGGATAAGATGATTCACAGTCAGGTGTCTATAAAACAGAAGGAAATATTAAAACATTACTTGATAATTTTGTCAGACTTGTAGGGTAATCAAAAATATACCTTTCTTTAAAAAATTAAATTTTACATACCAAATTTACGCAAACCTGTCAGGCAAACAGTCTGACATATTACAAAAATATCAAATGACAACTATATCATTTATGTCGGTTAAAAGCTCATTAGAGCTTATGTTGTCTCTGTTTGTATACCTTGCCGACTCTAAATAAAGCTTATTTATTATTATTATTGTTATAGAGCATGACACTACTGTCAATACCATATGAACCACCCCTACCAGAAACAGATCAAGGATTTAATGTAACCTTGGGGAAGGGGTGTGCTCCTGAGAATAAAGAAGTAGAGGAAATTAAATTGGCTTTAATTTTCCTACATTGAATGTATTTTTTTTAATATTTTTTTAGGGGTGGGCCCCGGTGCATCCCGTCTGAATCAGCACTTGCCTAGCATGTAAACATATCAGAGATTCACATTTTAGCATCACATAATATAAATATTCAGATTAACATTTACTCCTCACAGTCAATTCCCACATCAAATATTCTTATCACAAATACCTACTGATTCAAATCAAATCATTGTTTTTTCAATTCAATATTTTATTGGAAGGATAACAATAGTCTAGGCATGAGGAAATATTTAAAATTGGCTTTTTTCTTTAAATAGTACAGCATATATACGTGAATAGTATCTATTTTAAGTTTTCAAATTCTTAATTAAAAAATAATAGCACTTTTTATTTTTTATTTTAGACTAAAGATGTTTGAAAAAATTAACTAATGTAAGCAAATCTGTGTGACAAACCTGTAACCATTCATCTGGGATGTCACATGGCAGCTCACAAGCACTTATATACAGGATCTCTTCAGGGGAATGTTCTATTACTTTAATTTTTCTTGTATATTTCTGTGCATCTGTAAGAAGAAAGATATGTTTATATTTTATTAAAATTTGTTATCAATCATTTACATGTAACTCTTCATGTATCTTGCAATAAAAAAATTTGTCAACCAACTGATTGTCAAACTGTGTTTTTAGATTTCTTCATTCATTTCCTGACTGAGTCACAGACTGACTGTTAAAACTTATTACTGTAAATTCAGAAATTATTGCGTGCATTTATAATAAAAATGCAAATTTAATTTTTTGCGATATTGAGAAAAATCCTGTTTAATTCATATAAAAAATTTCAAAATGTGAGTTGAAATTATTGCAATTATAACCCTGTCGCATTTTTCGCAATAATGAAAACATTGCATTAATTTCTGAATTGACAGTATGTCAATTTCATAACTCAAATTTATAAATTCATAAGTGACAAGTCATGAACAAAAGGGACAGAAGGTTGATTCATATACTGCAGACAAAAGAGGTTGTTGTTTTAAGACATCTTATTATTTATGCAACTTAATAATTTCATGTTGATGACTGATCTTTGAGACTCTTATAAAATCATTTACAATATATCTAGATCCTGAGCTATTTATGTTATGGCTTCCAAAAGGTTTTAGACAATTCTATAGAAAACTATCCACCAGTTAACAAATTTGTTGAATTTAATGACTCGCTAACAACAATTTAATAACAGCGTTAGCCTAACACTTTTGAACAACCGGGCCCAAGTTTAAATGAAGTTGTCATGGTTGTTGTAAGCAATTAAAGATGTAGTTATATAACATGTATAACATATTTGTAATCACTCAACACTCCCCTAAGCTGGGACAATGATGTAACAGCACAACATACTAGAACCAAAGTTCTGTAAAAATAAGTTGTAAGTAATTGGCTGACCTCAAAACTTGAATTGATCATTTATATATAGTTACGTTTTAATTTTTCAAAAACAAAGTCAATGATAGTACTTATAAAAACAATAATTTAAAGATTTAACTACTTTGATAACTTGATAACCTTAAAGAAAAAGCTTATTCAGTAGATCAATTAGTTTACATGGATCGTGTCTAAATCCACTGGCTTCATAAACAACATCACCTAACTGTTGTTAGTATGTTAGTGGGGAATATATTGTTGGGGATTTTAATTTTTGAGGGAGGAGGGTTTGCAGATAATTCTTATTATTTTCTTCAATTGCTTAAGGTTCATCAATGCACTTTTGACAAAAATGGCTGTGTTTACACTATGAAATTTCTCAGAGTACAGACAAAACTGTGTAACTTGAAAAGTTTTAAAGCTTGGCAGCACCTAGGTATATACAAGTTGTTTTCATTTTGTGTTTCAAAAAGATAAAAACTTTTGTGGATTTAGCTAAACATTTTCTTTCCTTAAGTCAGATGCAGGTGCCTGGGGTGGTGTAAAAATAAACAAAGTCTGGTTTAATCTTTGAGATGTTCCCCTCAGGTAATGATTGTGTTGTATCATATTGATTGAAATGGACAATAGAAATCAACACAACAAAAGTGATTCAAATAGTGTAAATAACTGTATCAAATAAAACTCAGGTGTTATTTCAACATCTTCTGTCATGTCTGTGGCATTAGGAAAGAAAAATATTCATCAAAATCCATAAAGGTTTTTAACTTTTTAAAACATAAAATGAATGTAACATATATTTATCTAGGTGCTGCCAGGTTTTTAAAGTTTTCAAATTGTACAGTTTTGTCTGTATACATAGAGAAAATGTTATGGTGTAAACACAGCCATTTTTGTCAAAGTGTGTTGATTAACCTTAAGCTATAGACTGTTTTGTACATCTTTCAGGCTGCATACAAATATTGCTTCATAATGTTTACTTCCCATTGTCTCCTTCTCATGGTATGTTACTCAGTTTGATCCAGTGTGAGAGTATTTGAAGTGATATATAAATATGTAAACTTGAAATTAAATTCACCAAATTTTGTAATATTGTATGCAAATGCATACACCAGGCAAAGGTTCTACATTTACCCAGGAACATATATATTAGATATATACTGTTCCCAGATTTACCTAGAGATTTCTGTGAATTACTTGATTTATATAAATTTTGATATAATGCTAAACAAGTCTCCGGTGTCAGAGCAACCAACAATCATTCAACCAATCCAGCTTCCACCACATCAGACATCAGTATGCCCAGCTCCCCCCCCCCCCTCCCTTTGTGGAAAAAATTGTGGTTGAATATATAGGGAATCACGGAAGCATGAATGTAGCCCTATAAGGCAGTCAGTGACCCCCCCCCCCCCCCCCCCCCCCCCCCCATTTATGTTGAATAGGTGCAATTTGGGTACTGTGACGTTATATTTCTTGGTAAAACTATGTACATGTTATGCAGTATTTTAGGTGTAATACCACCAAATCATAGCAAGTCACATCCGGTTGCATACGAAAATAGGTTGAAAAAAAATATTCCTTGAATTTGACAGTTGTAGGTAATTATATATAATCCTACATTTCATTACAGTAAAACATTTCTGGGTCATAAACATATATCTTGGGTATTTCAAAGCACCATTATTTTTTTATTTGGGGTTTCTATAGAATATTTGGGAAACTTGAGGTTACATGGTTACTAAAGCTTAATTGTACACAGGTTAAAAAGAGGTGAAAATTTGATTGGTTAACTTCCAGTGATGGTTATTTTCTTATATGCAATGAAATGTTATGTGAAATTTTTTCTATAGTACTGCGACTCTTTTCACAAAAAATCTTACGATTAAAATTTATCGTAAGTTATACTGAAATGTTCATGACTTACGACTATTTTTACTCGTAAGATTTTTTGTGAAAAGAGCCCCTGGACAGGATAAAACTTGACTCATACCAAGTATTTCTTTATTGGCACTGGCTACGGTTACATCGAAATGTAACAATAATGAAAAAGTTATTGTTACATTGGAGACTAATTGCCGGAATGCACGGTTGGGTAAGGAACAGATTAATTATGAATGTAACAATAATATTTGTGTCTACGGTTACATTGTGTTATTGTTCCCTTTATGCACTTCAATGTACATGTATGCACGGACTAGTAATCTGTATTTTAAATTAGCACTTGAAACTTTTATTTGAATTTTACAATATTGCTTATAATCTGTTTTAATTTTTATTTACAATGGCGGTTGCTACACATCAAGTATTTTGTTTTGGGACCATGTTTCTGTCCAACACGTTTTTGGTGAAACCTCTCTACAATAGGCAGTCATTACAAACAAGTGGTGCAGCAATGTACAAGTCAGTTTTGCAGACTTTAAAATTACACTCTGTAATATCCCTTTTTGAAGTTATAGAAACTTTCCGAGGTGCAATTTTTTTTTTACTTTTGCGATGTTTAGATTTTTGTCCAATATTTTTGTTTGAAACGTGTGGTTGTTCCATGTTGACTTTTCATATAACTGATTAAAAATTTTTAAAAATCAATATAACTTAAAACTAAGTAAATGTGGATAGTGTCCACATGTGGACACAGATGATGCACCCGCTTGCATATCATATAGTTATAAAGGGACATAACTGAAGAACGACAAAAATGACGCTACCCAAATTTGAACTTGATCTGAGTTTTGTGGTAATAAGCATTGTGTGTAATTCACATAACATTTGGTTGAGGCTAACTTAAGTAGAGAACAGAAACTAAAAATTCAGCAATTTTTCTATCTGTAAACACGCATAACTCTAGAACGTTTGTGTATAAGTTTTATAACATTTGGTTGAGACAAACTTAAGTTATAGAACGGAAACGAAAAAATTCAGCAATTTTTATGTTTATAAAGGGACATAACTCAAGAATGGTAAAAGTGTCGCCACCAAATTTCGTACTTAATCTGTATTATGTAGTAATAAGCATTGTGTATAAATTTCATAACATTTGGTTGAGGCAAACTAAAGTTTGAAATCGGAAACAAAAAAATTGTACTTGATCTTAGTTTTGTGGTAATGAATATTGTGTATAGGTTTCATAATGTATGGTTGGGGCAAACTTAAGTTACAGAATGGAAACTAAAAATTTTGCAATCTTTCGATTTATAAAGGGGCATAACTCAATAATGGTTAAAGTGACACTACCCAAATTCAACTTGATCTAATTGTGTTTTATCAGTGGAAGTCAAAATTAAACATTGCATTGTATAGAGCATTGATTGTAGTTGATTCAACTATAATCATGGACAAAGGAAGATAACTCCAATTTTAAAAATTACTTGATATTTTAGAAGAAAATAAAAATTTTGTAATTTTTCCATTTATAAAGCGGCATAACTCTAGAACAGTTAAAGTGACGCCACCAAAATTCAAACTAGATCTGTGTTTTATGGTAAGAAGCATTGTGTATAAGTTTCATAACATTTGGTAAAGGCAAACTCAAGTTAGGGAACGGAAACCAATTTTGGGACGTACGTACATACGTACGTTCAGACGGACAAGGGTAAAACTTAATAGCGGCGGGGGCATAAAAACTGATAATTATAATAATAATAATTATAATAATAATATCATCATTATTATTTTCATTATCAAGTACATATTGAAGAATTAAGCAACAAAACTATAGAAGATTTTAAAATGTTTAATTACAATAACATGCAAAATGTAACCGTAGGCACGAATATTATTGTTACATTCGTAATTAATCAGTTCCCTACCCAAACCTGCATTCTGGTATAATCAGTCTCCAATGTAACAATAACTTTTTTATTATTGTAACATTTCAATGTAACGGTAGCCAGTGCCTTCTTTATTTAAAACATTTTTAGATAAATTCTGCACATTTTTTTGAAAAGTGCAAATTTAACAAAGACTAATAGGGAAAAATCAATGGTGGTATTACACCTTTTAACTATTTAGAATATTATCGAAAGAGCTAGCAGATATAGAAAAATCTGCTCTTTGAAGTCGTCAACTAGTACCAGTCAGGGCTGCCAAGTCTCACGCTTACGCTTTTAGCGTGAGACTCACGCATTTTCATGCTTATTTGGCGGCA